TTGTTGGCCCGTTCTTTTATGAGGGAACCCTAACTGGTGAAAGATATGTGGAATTTATATCAGAAATTCTGACTAATTTCTTAGACGAATTGGATCTTATAAGTAGACATCATCTGCATTTTCAGCAAGATGGCGCACCTGCCCACAACTCCAGAGGTACTTATCATTTTCTAAGTACTACTTTTAATCATCAGTGGATAGGAACAAAGGGCCCAATACAGTGGCCTCCCAGATCACCAGATCTAAACCCACTTGATTACTTCTTGTGGGGTTACTTAAAGAACCAAATTTACAAGCGAAGGTACGATAACCTTGACGCGTTAAAGACTGCAGTTAGGGAAAAGATAACCCAGATAGATGGTAGGACCATACTTAAGACAGTTCGAGCAGTTGAAAAACGTGCCCAAAAATGTATTGAAGAACAAGGTGGTGTTTTCGAGCATCTTCTTTAAAAAAAAATTGTTATTGTATTTTGTAAGATTATAAGTTGATGTTGAAAATAAAGTTTGTCGATACAATTTAATTGTTTCAGATTGGAGGCCATAACTTCAACAATTTGTAACCTAGGAGAAAAGTTATTGGAAGCTTTTTTGTTTAAAATTTGATGCTTTAACAGAAAAAAATATAATATACAGGGGTTTCCATTTAAAAAAATGTTATTTTACTGAAAAAAATCAAAATAACGACTCTCAATTGTTTTTTTTTATTTCTCATTTTTACCAGCGTTAAAAATGCTACTAGTTTGCTAATTCAAACAACTTTGTATTTTCACTAATAACAAAGTTACTAATGGTGGACACTTAATTTGGATAACCCTGTATATTACGTAACGGAATCAAATAACCTCGCTAATTTTTATACTCGACCCTCATATATACAGGGTGTACAAGTAAAGACTATTATTTACAAGGCATATAGATCAAACCTAAACCAAACCTAATTCGCTTCTGTATCTCGATCAGATCAAAAGTGGCACACTCGAACAACAATATCGAACTTGTCATGATGACCTTAATTTATCAGGAGCGTATGTCGAGGCGGGCACAGTAGGAGACATAGACAGAATGGTGCATACTGAGGAACGAGTATTGAATATCGTAGAAAATTTTTCAACCAACACTAGTTAAGACTAAACTAATTTGTACTCTGAGATTGTACCCTTTTGTACAAGTGCTCTAAGCTGATGATTTTTCTGCAAGAGCGTTTTTGTGAGTGGTTGTCAGTGATGAGCGTATAGTATGTACTTATAATACACCATTGTCTACGCGTATACAATGGTGAATATAAACGTCTTGATATTCACGTATACAATGTATAAAATGTACATAATGTATACAATAGCAAATTATAGTTTAACTACTTGCGTACAGTCCTGGCGAAAGTCCCGTTCCCTTTTAGATTTCCATGTGTTCGAGGAAGAGAGAGAGGGGGACAAGCGGACACCACGTTGCCTGGTACAACATTGATGAAGGCCACATAACACAACTGTAACTTGCTGCAACGCCTTGTGTTCTACGCTCAAATACACATTTCTGTCGAATCTGTTTGGAATCAATTCCAGATCGATCCTAATGGTTCTCCGATTTTAGGTGGAACTGAAAGTTCAGGATAGATACGAATTCTGCAACATTACATTATTGGTCTGACTGTGGAAGCAGTTTATAAATAATGACAAAATATATAATATTTATTTATATACGTATACCAAGATACAGTTTTGAATAAATTAAGAACAACAAATGATCCCTAGTTCATGGATTTCTTTGTTCTTGGAGCTTCCAACCATATTTTGTTTGAGTTGTCGGTGCACTGTTTACCAACTTTCTGACGTTTGCGAATAAACCTAACCTTACTTATGCTATTCTATACATTGTCTTCATCACTGAATACATAGTATTCATTGTATACGCATTGTATACATCGAGTCGTAGACAATTAATGTATACGCGTAAACGCCCATCACTGCTTAGAACTGATAAGTGATAGAGCCGCACTTTGTTAAGTTTCCGCTACTCATTTACCACACATTAGCTTTGTTATTTCAAGCGTAGTTGTTTCTTAAAAGCAAGATCCCAACTTTCAGGACACTCTGTATAGATAATATCGCACCAACCTCGTATGTCGCCGCGCCGCTAGTATTATACCTTTATACGTCATTCGGATCGAATACCAAAGATGCAATATCAATAAATCCCCCCGTGGCGCACGGCATGTGCGACTGATAGGCGATCTGCTGAAAATATTTTTCTAAGTTTTAAAGGCAAATGTACGGGCAAATCTATGAGGTGCGAAATATGTCTAATAGGCGTGCAGAATTACGACAGACAGAAGTAAGGTAAATAGATGGAAATAAGTGACAAGATTTTTCATATACCTAAGATCCAAAAAACGTAATATCTAATATCGATGTTTTTCAAGATTATACTTCCTCGCCAGCGTAGCGTGAGAAGTAAAAAGTCTACATCCGCTGGAGATATTGAAATTGTTTCTAGTACCTAAGTCAACTTATGCACTCCATGACATCTTTATTTTTCGACGGCTACGTCAATCTTTGCACCTTGACCTAATAGCGTAAAGTAGAATGAGTACCGGTAAAAACAGTATTGTTGTTTTAAAATAATTAAATTATGGGCTTTGAATATGCCTCATGTATAGTATCCGATCCACCTTCCGTACATTCCGGCAGCATAAATATTCACCTGTCAGGAAATCTCTACCAGCTGATGATTTGGTATGATGTTAAAGAATGAATATGTGATTCAAATATTTTTTTTTAAATAATCGATTCTGACTATACAATGTGCATAATATCTGGGCATCTGGACAACTTACGTATGCAATGATATCATAACTTCGTCGTACGTCGTCGACGGCCTCGATGACGCTACGGCTGGGCACCGTCGGCGTTGCTGAATTTGGATCCGACCCACCACAGGTAAAGGTAGTTGGTGTTGCTGGAGTCATAGATTAGGAGAAATACAACTTTGCATTTAACAGGTAATACTACCAAGGTTATCAATTAATGCAGAAGATGCAACATCTACAACCAACAACCCCCAATTTTCAACTTCTAGAAAATCATTTCTCAAAATGATCAGGAGCCTCTGGATCGTCAAAAACGAAGTTTGACTGGTGTCTATTTTTTCGTGAGTTGCCTAGCAGCTCCGCCAGCACTGGACCGATTTTAAAATATTACAAAGTTTTTTCATCCTTGGAATTGTAGTAACCTGTTATAAAAATTTCATCAAAAGCCGACAGGTATTTTGAAGAGAGAGACTGGCGAAAATGAGTGACATGGTTTTACGTGATGTACTGTACACGTCATATAATAACCAAAATACATAATATCTCATTTTCGAAATTTTTAGTGAGATTCAGTAGATTAATTTAAATTAAAGATACAATGTCGTATCAAAACTACGCATACACCATTCCAAGTATACAAGATTTTGCACTTCTGGTCAGGTTTTTTTGATTCCCGAATCACGCCTATGCATCTCCACCTTGACACAGGCAAGGTTCAAGGAGCATTCTGTCTCCAGCCATAACATGATCACTGTAACAATATTCACATTATCTCGAAATAAAAGCAATAATCAAATCTATATAGGCAGATACACTAATATTTATTTGCATCCCTTTTGGATATTAAATATTTAAAAAATTTCAGTGCTGTACTTCACTTTAAATAGATTATCATTTTGAGTATGTTTAAAAAAATAGGAAACTTCTTCATAACTAAGAACTTGATCCTAAGCATATTATCCACATAAAAAACATGCAGACGTCAAGGTTTTTTTGAAAATCTCATCTCAAGCCACCGGACCAGAATGTATTTATAATAGACCTGTTCATACAAACACATAATCAAAAAAAAAAACTGATATGTTGATCAAATTGCATAACATCTCTGAAAATAGGTCATTTTGAGGAATCGGCGCCAGAGCTTGACAAGATGAATGTATGCTCATTTTAATGGTTATTTTCCGGTTGTAACCCATACCCTGTGCATTTGTAATTGAAGTATGCAAATGCGATGTTCTATTATGCCGCTTTTTCTTTGCGAAAAATTATAGTTCAGGATATATAGACAAACATTGCCAATATGAACAAACAAATACAATCAATTACGCAAAAATGAAAATTTGGGGTAACGGAAACTTAGGCAAAAAAGAATTTCCCATTTTACGTCCGAACCAAGGAAGCACAGTTTTCATGAATCCAGTTTGTACACTGGATGCAACTGATTCTCTCCCCTAGAAAATCTTGTAAAATAATCAATCATTATGCTACGTCAACTACTAGAAAGTGACTATTTCGATACAAAGGCTTGTCTAAGATTGTTTAATACTTACTACATATAGAAACCAACTATGTAATTTCAACTTTAACGAAAGATCGTCGGTTATAATTTTGACGCCAAAATGCATCAAAGGTTAGAAGTCTACAATTCATAAATATTGGTGGTGCAATTTGCAAATCGGTACAATATAGCCGAATTTCCCATATATTTGTTCCCAACCTTATTTTTGTTGTTATTGAATTTAAAACCTTTATTTCGATGCAGATAGTACATAAATATGAATGAAAGACAAATCAATGATTCCAGTAGAAAACCTCAAAATGATAACGTGAAAAACAAAGGAAAAAATTACTGAAAGCTGGTCTATAAATTGAAACAGCATAAATAACACGTTATCGATAGGATTTGAACCTACAATGTCGCATAAGCGTATACCGAAAATGCAAAGGCTCCACAATATAACGTTTTCAATAGATGTTGGATCAATTAGGGCTCCAATTTTTATTGTATCTCCGACGTCAGTGTGACGTTAACAGTAAGTTACGATAACACAAAAATGACGGAATGGCGATTTGCTATACTAATGGATGGTGCTTTATTCGCGATACTCCTTTGTTACATCTTATGCTTATTTCCTACTAAAATGCTCGTACTATTATACAAGAATATATATATATATACTATATGAAAAAAGACTGCGATATGATATCAAGAATAACACAAACAGGAACAAGTTAGCCATTTCAAAACTGATCGCAATGCGGTCACAAGTTCTCATGGCATCATCAAGAACATTTTTTTGTGAATGTTTTGTGCTTTTGTGTGTTTTCAGCCTGCCGCATATCGCCAATCTAGAGGTAATCTTAAACTTTATGAACAATTTTCCTTAAACATTGCATAATTTCTTTCATAACCGTATTACATATTTTCCCGCCTTTTTATGAGCATCGGCAATCAAAAGGTGCCGCTTGATTATGTTAAATCGAAACGTTTATACTCATATTGCAAAATCTTTGTTTTCGAAGTATTAGCTCTATTTTAAGTGTACAAATGATTTATCACTATTACATATTATAACAATTTCGTTGTCACATGTGTTCGTTATCAATATACCGTTTTTTGTTAATGATGAAGAAGTTCATTGAAAATGTCATGTCCTACTTTGATTCAGTAATTTTATCCCAATACAGATAGTGCGGTTAATCGTAAATAAACTGTTTATAAATATTAATATGTGTAATTGTTACATTCATGCAATAATATCTGGGACAATACGTTCGCTGAAACTTCATAACTTTAGGTACTTTGGACGCTTGTGACAAAAAGTTATTTTTTTCTTGGAAAGGGCTCTTACGAATAATATATGTATATGACTTTGAAGTTGAGTCATTAATTTTCAGATAATAATTGTAGAAGGAAGATAAACCAAAATATGTGTGTGAGAATAAAAAAAAATTAAAAAAATGTTACCTTGTTTTATAAAGTATCCGCCCGACAAGTATTTCAGTGCGGACCTGTGCGCCCAAAAGCATGTCACAAAAACGGTTCGAAATGATTTCCGTTTTGCACATAATATTATTATTGAGACAGGGCGGTACTCAAACTTATAAAGGGCTATAACTTTGTTACTTTACTTTTACCAGAAAAATTTTATAGGAGAAAAACATTACTTTTGATCAGATCTACTCACTGTTAAAATAAAAAACTCAACTTCGAAGTATATACATCATGTCAAATATATTTTAATTAGAGTAACATCAACACGTTTTAGAAATCTGCTCGATGTACTCTATTAAAGCACTTTAAAATTCAAAATGATAAGAATGAATATTTTGAGCATCTGCTACGTTATATGTTTGTTTTACATCATCTACTCGTAGAAGCAACTGTGCTGGTCACTAAGATCGAAATGGACATTAGCTTTATTTTGTTCACCAACTGATATTATTTTTACTTCCCACTCCACTTGGGAGGACATATTCTTTAAATGTTAATTTCTTCCGTAGTTGAACACGTTATGAACCTATTAGATAGTGTGTATATAAAATATAAATTCGATCTATCTTTAGGGTTCCTCATAAATAGTAACGAATTAGTCATAAAAAGAAACGAATTTATTCAATTTGCTAATCCACACTTTAGAATACGGATTGAATAAATGAGACTTTTGAGAAACACATTTTGTTTGTTGTCTTATTGTGCTGAAAAAAACTATTATCTCCTAGTTAACTGCTACATGTTTTTTAGGAATCCACTCGCAAAGCAATCAGTTCGTTTCAAACGACCACTGGTAGTACGGGAAAATATACAGTATTGTATGACTATGAAAATGTAAGATTTTATAACCATCGTTCTGTCTTTTGTAAATGACTTTGATTTTTATATTTTAGAAAATTGTAGTATATAAAGATCTGATTAATCAGAAATGTGTACTAGAAGTGGTCCAAGGCGATGAAAGCTTCATAAACACATGGATAGCTCAACAAAGTTATGGTGGAAATTCACAAGACTTGAATACTGAGAATGATCAATTACCAAAGAGAGAGGTAACAGTGTAATTTTACTTTTAATTAAAACATCAAATGGCACTATGCAAGGTCACATCATAACCCATTGTTTGGTAGAATTTTGTTTAGTCAAAATGTTTTCGAGACTTACAGGAATCCATTCCTTTTTAGCAAAAATTAACCCTCGACCAGTTAAAATAATCACAATTGATTGTTTTATCGAAATCAGTGTTATTTTTTCTTATGTTATAGCGAAATCCACATGAGAATTATTCTAATGCAACATTTCAATTAGGGATACACTACTCGAAATCAAGTCAAGCTCGAAAGTAAAGTATGAGAGCACAGCAATTTAAATCAAGTAAAGTAGTTTTTGCGTCAAGTAACTGAAATTTAAGTAATTTTGATTACTTGATAATTTTTGAAATATAAATACGAGTAGATTATAAATACACAACGGAAAGACTTTGAGACAAGTTACAGAGAAAACAATACATACTGAACAAAATGTTTTGTTCGTGGTATAACAAATAGAAGAACAATAAAACTGTAAGGTCAAGTAAAAAAGTTTTTCATCAGCTGATACAAAAAAATTAAAAATTATGAATTAGACTTTCATTCGCTAACCACGAGTTAAGACACATGAGACGGATTTATCGCTTAATCTATTAGGGGGTTCCGTAATGGTCAGTGCAGTCCTAGAAAATTCCCTTTCAATTTTCATGCCATTTGCACCATTGGTGATTATTTGCATTTAAATAGAAAGTCGGTTCATCGATTGGATAAATAAATATCACTGAAGGTCAAAAATATAATTCATCATTCATCACGTATCAAGTAGAAGAATAAAAAAATCAAGTCAAGCCAAGCATTAACGTTTCAAGTAATATCATTTTCAAGTTAGGCCAAGTAGTTTCTGATAAACATCAAGCTACTTAATTTAACTTTGACACCCTGTAGTAACAAAGAATGGACTATGCCAAAGCTCGTTATTTAATGTCATTCTTGCAATGCTATTTTCTTTTATATAGCAATTTTAATTCACGATCGTCAAGTTTCTGGAATATCAAAAACTGCTTTTATGACGATAAGATTCACTTTACAATAGTAATTTTTTATTATATTAAGTAGAGCAGGTATTCAGGTTGACCACTATTAGCCACTATGCGTGTCCCTCATCTCGTAATGATCGAGGAATACCTGCAGATTCAGGGTACATCTTACTTCTCACGCAAATTAGAAACTCTAGTATGTACCCATGTAGCTGCAATTTCGAACAAAACTCGTTTCTGGGGTATACCAACAGGAAGTATTAAGGTGCCTATTTTTCTAGTCAAAATAGGACGTCGTGACCGATTAACATTAATACCTGGGAAGTACCGAGTTAACCTGTTTGACTACATTTTTTAAAAGATAATCTGCCATCATGATGCATATCTTTCATTTTTTTGAATGCAGAAATGGCGAACGAGGTAGATGAATCGTCAAACCAATCTATTTTTACTGCACGTATCTTTTATCTTACTGAATTTTGAAGCATCGTGTTGTGCAATTTGCAGTTATGGTACTTGGCAAAGCACAGGATAATAGACTTCTGCAAAGGCCTGCCTACATTTTATCTACAAAAACGAGCCAATTTGAACCGTCCAACTTATTTCACGAACGAAGTGGAAGAGAACATCATCGGTAGATGGAAAAGACAAACAACCCATTACTTCAAAGGACGAGTTCGAGGGCAAACTCAATCGCAATACCTCAACTTTGGTAAATCTGACGGTGATGGGAAGGCGGAAGCCGAATCTACAGTGGAAGGATCCAAAGCTGTTGTGTGTAAGTTGAAGAATGATCCGATAGTATCCTTAAATTAGTCGAAAAATGTTCAAAAATATTGGAAACATCTCCATACCAACTGATTCTTGGGTATGTTGAGGCAGTCAATCCGAAAATGCATTCCGGCATTTTAAATTGTAATGCAAAAGTCCTAAAAGAGGCAAAATTTTAGAATAGTGTTTTTGATTGAGGTTCTTACCTCGCCGTTGGCGAGGAGATACAATAATAGCGAAAAAATAATAAATCCAAATATTATGTTTTTAGGCTTACAAATTGCATTATACAGGGTGACCCATCCATGTGTGGACGGAATATTACTCATAAACAAATACATCTTGGGAAAATCTATTTATAGCATGTTATAAATGACATTTGAGGGCACATTCCTAAAATATTGGCAATTATACAGGGTGTCCCAATTATGACCCAGATATCAAAGTTGTGATTTTCCAAATGTAATGCCTCAAATTTTATTACATATTTGGATAAACCAATTCAAAAGAAGAAGATTGATATAACATACTATGGGGTTTTGGTAATTAGCTACTGTATGTATGGTGTTTTTTCCAGAAAAACCGTCCACTTCGGCAACCCCTCAATCCGCCATTTTGAAATTTGGAATGCTGAATTTTGTATGAACAAAAACTTACACATCTCAGCTTTTATCTTATTTGTTACTTTTTCGAATTTTCATTTTTGCTCCTACAGGTTTTTTATACTCCAACTACCACGAAGGCCTAAGGCCTAAACACCCATGGGGTACCGTGGGGCTATAGGGGGATACAGGGGAAAGGGGGAACGCCACACAGACTCTGGCGAGGGAACACGTGTGCATGCAACACGCACACATTCTGGCCCTGCCTACGCGATCCGCCGGGTGGTACCTCTGCGTTCGACTGTCAGAGACCGTCTACCACCTACGGACAATCACAACATCCCTAGCCAAAAGAAAAATTTCTCTTGGGACGGGATTCGAACCCGCACAGCGAACGGCGACTAATCAGGACACCGAAGAGTCTACTACTGCGGCCACCGCTCCCGCCTTGTACGTGGTCAAAAACGCGATTAGTACTTTTTCTCAAAAATCTCAAATGCATCATCCTGTATATTTGTGCAAGTTTGATTTCAATTTTTTAAAAGCTTTTTTTGGTATAAGGTTTAATATCTAGATTTTGAGTAATTAGGCTTTTAATAGAACAACACACCAAAATTAAGGGAAAAAATCACACCATCCGCGGAAACAAAAGACAAACAGTGAGCTAGTTCCATATTGCCACTAAGAGTACAGATTTGACGTAAAAACTAATAACAGTATAAATCAGCTTCAAGCGTAATAGAGAAAAACAACTATAACAGCAACATAAACAAACAACTATCACTACAAGAGATCTAATCTACAAAAGCTGACGTTCAGAAAAGCATCCTTAATCCTTTCCTTCATATTTTCCGGGGTAAATGGTGGATATCTATAAACCTCTTGCTTAACGTAGCCCCATAGAAAGAAGTCCATCGGTGTCATATCTGGTGATCTAGGAGGCCAAGATATAGGCCCATCACGACCGATCCAACGATTGTTACTCCAGGTGTTCAAATAGTTACGTACACGATTATCATTATGATAATGCGTAGGTGCGCCGTCATGTTAGAAGAACATATGCATCCGAGTTTGCAGGTTGACATCCTCCAAAATCAAAGGCAAATGCTCGATCAAAAAATGCAAGTAATCTGTACCTGTTAATCTGTTGTCGAAAAAGAATGGCCCGATAACTTGTATACAGGGTGTCCGGAAAAAAGTGTGCAATATTCTACCAGCGGTTTCTAGAGCTTAAAATAGGAAGAAAAGTTTATATAAACATAGGTCGACAAACGTCCTCTAAGGGCGCTACGGTCTTTTAAAGGGGCTCGCCTGAAGATGGTTTTTCCTCAATATTTCCGAAACGTGTTGAGATAAAGACATAAAATTTGGTATCCTAGCCTAGTTTTTTTTTTTTTTTTATACTCCAACTACCACGAAGGCCTAAGGCCTAAGCACCCATTGGGTACCGTGGGGCTATGGGGGATACATGGGAAAGGGGGGACGCCACACGGACTCTGGCGAGGGAACACGTGTGCATGCAACATGCACACATTCTGGCTCCGCCTACGAGATCCGCCGGGTGGTACCTCCGCGTTCGACAGTCAGAGACCATCTACCACCTACGGACAATCACAACATCCATGGCCAAGAGAAACATTTCTCCTGGGACGGGACTCGAACCCGCACAGCGCACGGCGACTAATCAGGACACCGAAGAGTCTACTACTGCGGCCACCGCTCCCGCCTTGTACGTGGTCAAAAACGCGATTAGTACTTTTTCTCAAAAATCTCAAATGCATCATCCTGTATATTTGTGCAAGTTTGGTTTCAATTTTTTAAAAGCTTTTTTTGGTATAAGGTTTAATATCTAGATTTTGAGTAATTAGGCTTTTAATAGAACAACACACCAAAATTAAGGGAAAAAATCACACCATCCGCGGAAACAAAAGACAAACAGTGAGCTAGTTCCATATTGCCACTAAGAGTACAGATTTGACGTAAAAACTAATAACAGTATAAATCAGCTTCAAGCGTAATAGAGAAAAACAACTATAACAGCAACATAAACAAACAACTATCACTACAAGAGATCTAATCTACAAAAACTGACGTTCAGAAAAGCATCCTTAATCCTTTCCTTCATATTTTCCGGGGTAAATGGTGGATATCTATAAACCTCTTGCTTAACGTAGCCCCATAGAAAGAAGTCCATCGGTGTCATATCTGGTGATCTAGGAGGCCAAGATATAGGCCCATCACGACCGATCCAACGATTGTTACTCCAGGTGTTCAAATAGTTACGTACACGATTATCATTATGATAATGCGTAGGTGCGCCGTCCTGTTGGAAGAACATATGCATCCGAGTTTGCAGGTTGACATCCTCCAAAATCAAAGGCAAATGCTCGATCAAAAAATGCAAGTAATCTGTACCTGTTAATCTGTTGCCGAAAAAGAATGGCCCGATAACGGAAAAAAGTGTGCAATATTCTACCAGCGGTTTCTAGAGCTTAAAATAGGAAGAAAAGTTTATATAAACATAGGTCGACAAACGTCCTCTAAGGGCGCTACGGTCTTTTAAAGGGGCTCGCCTGAAGATGGTTTTTCCTCAATATTTCCGAAACGTGTTGAGATAAAGACATAAAATTTGGTATCCTAGCCTAGTTTTTTATGCTAGATTTAAAAATATTAACAATTTTAGACAGTTTTGTTTGGAAGCGTATGTAACAGGAACGGACTCAGGTTGTTTGAGCCCCAAAATTTTTGTGTGATTCTATTTTTAAAATTTAATTTTAGAATTTGAAAATTTAGGGTTTTCTACATAAAAAAGGTTCTCTTATTGAATATCGATAAATTGCGCCATTTTTTAATAAAATCAAACTAAAAAATTTGTCACATGATAGGAAATGTACTGCGAATTTAAATGAATTGTTGAATAATTAGCCAAGGCAACGAAAAAACTAATTTAATAATTGGTCAATATTACATAAATACATATTTCTATTGCAACATAGCTAACATTTAGGCAAAAACAAAAGTAAATATTTTTTTTCTACGAACGAAATTGAAATTTGTTTAAAAAAGAAGACATACAGGTTCAGTTGGATATACTTAAAACTAGCTTTACAATAAGTGTTCAAATAAATTCCCATTTTGTTGGCTACGGAGACTCGCTCGACGAAACAATGATTGCGTAGCCCGAAAAGTGGAAAACCTTTTTCTTCTTATTTCATTTGCAGCCTGATGGATTCTTTGAAGTAAATCTTCTTGAGTATTTACTTCAGTCGAGTAAACTAGGTCTTTTAATGATCCACAAAAATAAAAATCCAATGGATTTAGGTCAGATGAACGCTATACGACCTCCTCGGCCTAACCACCTGTCTGGAAAATTGACATTCAACCAATTTCGAACATTGCGTCCAAAATGCGCACGGGCGCCATCATGTTGAAAAAAAATATTTTCTTGAAACTGCTGGTGCACATCCAATGATATTATATCCATGAGCTCATTCTGAAGAAAGTTCAGGTGAACTAAGACGATTGGGAAGTACAATAGGCCCAATTACCTGATCCCCAATTACTCCTGCCCATAAGTTCAATGAAAATCTATGTTGGAAATTTGTACGGCGAACAACTTTTTTATTTTCATCTGACCAGTGATGCATGTTATGGAAATTAAAAGCACCATTCCTAGTAAATATTGACTCATCCGACCATAATATTCTAGGAATAGTGCTAATATCCACTGGCAAAACTCGATTCGTGGTAAAAAATCTACCTCCGTTAAATGCTGAACCCGTTTAAAATGATAAGGATGTAATCCTTGCATTCTTGTCATTCTTCCTATCTAAAATTATTATTTTTAGGATAACTATCAAATAGGTATTCATAAATTTTTCTTACTATTTATCGAGATATATCCATAATTTCTGAAACATTTCGTATGCTTATTTGCGGATTATTTTCAAACATATTTAAAGCAATATCCATACGATGATTTCCCAGTGCCCTTCCTGAGCCCTGCATGCGCTGAAAACTTCCATGGTTTGACAAATTCCGGTGAATCAGTGAATCAGTAAACATTCGACGTCCAGGTACTATGCGATTAGGAAATCTTTGATATTCTCTTACGGCTGCCAATGAACTGCCATTGCAAAACCCGCACACAAAATGCATGTCAGTCAGTTCTCTGTCTGTAAATCTTGACATTTTAAATCGATTTAATAAAAATTTTGTCAGCTTAACGTCAAAATAAGTCATAACAAATCAAAACAACTTTTGTTTGCAGTCATGGGTAACTATGTAAAATCAACAATTCATTTAAATTCGCAGCACATTTCCTATCATGTGACAAATTTTTTAGTTTGATTTTATTCAAAAATGGCACAATTCATCGATATTCAATAAGAGTACCTTTTTATGTAGAAAACCCTAAATTTTCAAATTCTAAAATTGAATTTCAAAAATAGAATCATACAAAAATTTTGGGGCTAAAATAACCTGAGTCAGTCCCTGTTACATACGCTTTGATATTTTTAAAACCAGCATAAGAAACCAAATTTTATGTCTTTATCTCAACACATTTCGGAAATATTGAGGAAAAACCATCTTCAGGGGAGCCCCTTTAAAAGACCGTAGCGCCCTTAGGGGACGTTTGTCGTCCTATGTTTATATAAACTTTTCTTCCTATTTTAAGCTCTAGAAACCGCTGGTAGAATATTGCACACTTTTTTCGGGACACCCTGTATATAGGGTGTCTGCAAAAAGTTGGGAAATCTCGAAACTGGAGATACTACAGACCAACATTTGTGAATTGACCTAAGTATACCTTAGTCCAAAAGTTGATAGTTTGCGAGATACAGGGTGTCAAAGTTACAATTTTATTTTCTATTTTTCCTTAGTGCTTGAGAAGTATTTCATTTAGGTCAATTCACATATTTTGGACTGTAGAATCTCCAGTTTCGAGATCTCGCAACCTTTCGCAGACACCCTTATTGTATATAACTGAGAGAATACTGGTTATGGTTAGATGAAAGGAGTAGGAATTTTTAGCCATGAAACCAAGTCAAATTTCGCATCTATGAAATATTTGCATTTAAATATTTAAAAACCAATTTATTTTAAACGTTAATCAATTTTTTTATGTTTTAGTACTTGATTGAATGTCGAATGTTCGTAATTTTATTGTTCGCAATTTACCCATTATAAAATGTTTAACTTTCTTAATTTTAGACGAGCGCGTGTTTTTTGTCGATTGCACTTAAAGAAGTTCACCGGTGGGACCGAAACATCGTACAATACGAGTAATGCGGAATTTAAAACATATGTGGTTTGATTCGGCAAGAGAAAGATGCGGGGTTATCAGCATAAAAGAGTCACGATACTCTAATCCTTTCCTACTAAAAAGAACGAAAGTCTTCTAAATTTTGAAAATAAACCTAGCGGCGAATTAGGAAAAACAAAAAAATTACCGGTTTTTGGATTTACTAATAATTTTGCGGCATTTTTAAAAATTATGTCTCCATTTTTAAAATACCAGTAACACAGCTTTTCTATGTTTTTAACCTTCTGGTCAAATCAAGGCATATTCACAGAAAATTTTCATTGGGGCCAATATAATTAAAATCATATCTTCTATCTTAGTTGTTATTAACAAAAATCACATGTGTAACAAATATATTTAATTCTAAAAAGTCTTTACATAATTTTCAATTTTGCAGTTTTAGTTTTCAAACCCAGTCGTTTAATTTTCATTCAAATTTTTTTCCAGATTCACGTGTCTTATTTCGTTTGGTATTACACTATAAAATTCAGCTGCTAAGAATTTAAATGATTTTTTGAATAATGGCTTGTATGGCCTTTGGATACTAGTTATGCCTATTCGAAATCGTGTTTATAGGAAGTTTGTTCATAACAATGTGCATGTAAGAAATAAAGTTGCCTACTACCAAGTTTATATGAATTATTTGACGGATATAATCTTGGCTTATAAAAAATGGCTTTTGAAACTGTTTTTTGTGCTACATCTAGATCAGAAATATATGTCTTGCAGGTGGCACTCCAGGCTGTGATGCCGTATAATTATATGGGCTAATATGATGCTTATAATTATCGCGAACCTAAACCTGTAATCTTTGTACATACCTTAGCACAGGAAGTACCCGCTCGACTTTGTAAATCGGTTGGAATATATGGACATAACACTTCTAAGGAATAATTAGTTATGGAACTCATTCATGGAAATATTATACACCTGTTACGCTTTACATGTAATGCAAGTTCGTCTGATTTTTTGAGAAAGAATTATGAATGATCCATCTTATTATATTATTTTTTGTTTATTTCAGCTGGTCAAAATGGTATAGGTCAAGCGCAAAGTCAAAGCATACCTTTTGGATGCGACGAATGCTATGAACAAGAGCAAACTGTAGAGCTTGGAAGACGAGGAGAAAAATATCCTGAACCGATCGTCCAAAGACCTGTGGGACCCCCAGTTCCTGGTCAAGGTGGTAGACCAGGGGTTTACTTGAGGCCCGGTCAAGTTGAAGGAGGTCAGTTTCCTGGGCAACCGTGGGTTCCAGGTGGAGTTTCTGGAGTTGGAGGAATTCCAGGTAATCATGGGTTATTCTTTATTTGCACGCCCAAAAAAATAAATTGCTGAGCGTAGGATGCAACATACTGCTGTTAAACAATCATGTTATTTACCCCAGGTCAAGTTAGAGGAGTTCCAGGACAAGAAATACCAGGTCAAGTACCAGGAAGAGGTCCACAACAAACATGGCAACCAGGACAAGCATGGCCACCAGGTCCAGCACCTAGTGCACCAAGTCAAGAAAGAGGCCAACCACCAGGACAAGTAGCAGGACCTACAGGCCAGTTATGGCCACCAGGGCAAGTTCCCAGTCAGCCTGGTGGTCCAGATCAAACACAGCTTGGAAGAACTTCTGGACAAACGTGGATACCAGGTCAAGCTCCTGGACAAGCAAGAGGACCTACAGGGCAGTTTTGGCAACCAGGCCAAGTTCCGAATCAAACTGGTGGTCCAGCTCCAATAGAAGGTGGAATACCTTCTGGTCAAGCATGGGCACCAGGTCAAGTTCCGAGTCAAACTCCTGGCCAAACATGGATACCAGGTCAAGTACCCGGACAAATAGGGGGACCTTCAGAGCAAGTATGGACTCCTGGGCAAGTTGGTGGTCCAGGTCAAACGCAAACTGGAAGAGCTCCTGGACAAACGTGGGTGCCAGGTCGAGGCCCTGGGGAATTCGATATTCCTGGGCAAGCGTGGTTACCCGGACAAATTCCTGGTCAGATAGGAGTTCCAGGTCAAGTAACAGGACCCTCTGGACAAGTGTGGATTCCAGGTCAACCTCCCAGCCAAGTTCCAGGACAAACTTGGATCCCTGGACAAATTCCTAGCGCTCCAGGGCAGATTACGAGCGTATCAGGGCAACCTTGGACTCCTGGTGGTCAAGTTGCTCCACCAGGCCAACCAGGACAAATTAGAGTACCCGGGCAAGTTGGAGGTCCTAGCTGGACTCCAGCGCAAGGTAATTGAATTGTGTGAATAACATCTAACAACGTATATAAGATTTGAAAAAATGTAACAGGCTTGACCAACGAAATAAGGAAATTTTATTAAAATCTTAATACTAATGATTATACACATTTTGATATTATATATATATAAGATCTCACTTTCAGTTGGACGATGTCCACTTCTTGAGTTCTACAAATGAGCGTCAATCACACTTCAGGTAGATACAGGATCTTTAGCTTCCTCTTAAAATTAAGTAAAGAAAAGTCATAGAAATCATTTGGGAGAGAATTATCCATCGAGAACCAAATTTGCCTGACGGCTTGAGTTCAATGTGTGTTAGAGATAAGTGTGTAAAGAGACGTATGTTAGAAATATAGAAAGCGGCTGGATAGCGAAGCTTATCGCCACGTTGCCTAGCAACGGTCACGGAGAAGCTTGTACAATCTGCCGCGTTGAAAACATCTTTCACCAGTTCCTTGAATTAAGTTGCATATTGAAACTATGCGTTAGTTTATTCTCTACGCCCAAATAATGATTTCATTTTGAACGCACACATTTCTGAAATGTCAATTGAGTCGAATCTGTTTAGGATCGATTCCGCATAGGTCCTAACGGCGCTCCATTTTAGGTCGAAATGAAAGGTTGCGACAAATTCTGCAACATTCCATCATTGGTTCGCTTCCATTCCAATGCACGGTTTCCACCTCCATGATCATAGATGAGCGATTTTGGTCAGTACCCATATAGCGCTCACTTGGGAGGGTGATCCTGCGTCGAAATGGTTTTCACCTGAGGTGGTATAACGATCATTCGCCTCTTTCTAGTACGCAATGAATTGATATCTTCAAATTTTATATAGAAGATATGTTCACGAGAACTTTGTGGATTAGTGATGTAATGTAATTTCTCAATCTATCTAAACTCAGAATGTTGTGTGGTTCAAATATATGGCTTATATGATCAAACTGTCTTATGCCAAAAGAGATATTACTATAAGGGCATCACATAATTGATTTTGAAACTATTTCATAAACACTACACTGTGGATAACAGATAATTGTTTTAACATACTATAGGCTCAGGAGGAAATTTTATTCACATGGGTATTCAAATGGTTACCTGGCTAAAACTTTGATCTCTGAACCAGCTTACAATTTTAGTTTTGGGTAACCGTCCAACTAATCTGTATATATTCTTGCGAATTTCAAGTTTTAACGAGATTTTGAACTTAATTATTGAAACAATATGGTGTTCATTAATGATAACCCACGATTTGTTTGCCTGTTTCATGGTTACTAGAAAAAATCTGGTTGTCATTTCAAGGCAAACTTTTTCTCAAAACTTACATTCAAATTTAATAAGTATAAAATCTTTGTGTACTGGTATTCTACCACGAATATCATAGTTCCAGGTTCAATACCCAGTCCAGGACAAGTTGGCATACCAGGGCAGCCTACATGGCAAGGTTCGGGAACTCAAGTGCTTGCTGGTGAAAGAGACTCCGGTAGGTTTGGAGGAAATTTAGAAGGCAACTACCAAAGCAACTTAGGGCATGCTGGGAGATTTTCGGGGCAATTTCATGGACAATACGAATCATATGGTGAAAGTGGTGGTCGAATACAAGTAACTGGAGCACACTTTCCTGGAGGACAGGAGCCAGGAGTATGGTCATCTCCTCCAGATACAACAATTGGGAGGCCAGGGGTTCCTGGATGGCCAAGTAGTGCTCCTGGAGCACCATCATGGCCGGGAGCTCCACCAAGTGGACAAGGATTTTTACCAGGACCAATTCCGCCAGGTGCAGGTCCAGGATGGGCAGGTGTATCACCTGCAGGTCCAACAATACCTGGAGCTCAGGGTATATCCGGTGGAGAAGCTCCTGGAGGTATAGCAGTTGAATTGCCAGGAGCATCAAGGCCTGGGGGGTATGTCGGGGTTCCAGGCGGCAGTACTGGATTTCCAGGGTCGACGATAAGTGTCCCTGGCGCTATCTCAGCAGCTCCTGGTGGTACTTCTGGTCGACCTCAAGGTACTCAAGTTTATCCTGGTGGATTCCCTGGAGGATATCCGGGGGCCCAAGGTGTTCCAGTTGTTGGATTCCCAGGAGGTATTCCAGGACATCCAGGAGTTTCTGTAGGTTATCCAGGAGGACTAACAGGATATCCTGGCGTTTCAGGCGGTCCGCATGGAGCAGTACCTGGGGGATATCCAAGTGGAATACCTGGTGTACCATCAGGTGCAGCATGGCCATCAGGACCACAAGGACCTTGGCAGGCAGGACCAAGTGGACCACAAAGAGGACCTGGAGGAACATGGCCAGGAAGTCAAATTACAGGTGTCCTACAATCACCTGCAGGCGCGTGGCCAGGAGGACAAATTCCAGGTAGCGCTCAAGGTCCTGCTTCACAAGCGGGATGGTCAGAAGTCCAAATTCCAGGCGGTTCTCAGGTACCTAGTTCACAAGTGGCGTGGCCAGGAGGACAAATTTCCGGTGGATCCCAAGCACCTGGCTCACAAGGCGCGTGGCCAGGCGGTCAAATACCAGGTGTGCCAGGCATTCCAGGAGCTCCGTCTGGTGTTCCCCAGCAATACACAGCGCCTGGTGTACGCGGGACAGTAGGAGCAGGACAGGTAGATGATTCCGATTCACAAGTTCAGACATCCGTACTTCAAATAGAAAACGGTACTACGGCACAGGCACAAGCTCAAGGAATTTACGCAGGTGGAACAGCTCAATCACAAGTTTCTGGAACGTACAGTGGATCGGGTTCCTTTAGCGCCTCAGCTGGCTCAGACGATGGAAAGAGAGGCGCAATGACACAAGTAGCTGGTGGTAAAGATGGCGCACAGAGCTCTGCACAAGGCAGAGGAGGTTCTGGGACCTCCCAGTCTCAAGTGGTGCTTTCTTCAGGGACCGGCAATACATTATCAAGCGCACAAAGTAGCGGACTAGCTCATGGCACCCAGTCCCAAGTAGAAGCCTCTGAGAAAGGCGGGCTAGCGGACGCACAAGCAAACGGATCCGGCAACACATCTTCGCAGGCTCAAATCGGTTTCACCCCATATCAAGAAGAAGATGATGATAATCAAACAACGACCTTTAGAGGAGGTGGAACAGCTGGAGCTCAAAGTGGGTCACTAAGTGGCATGACACAGGCTCAAGTACAAGGAAAGTTCCGGTACGGTATTAGATATACAGGTGGTGCTCAGGCGTCATCTGGAATATCATTTGGAAAGAACTCTTCTGAAGGACCGTTCAAACCTTTAGATTTACATTTTGACACACCTGTGTCATCGAGAAATAAAGGATATAGCCAATCGCAGACCAGTAAGACGTCATTAACAGCAAAGAGATCAGGTGAAACTACGACGTCATCAAGCACGAGTCAACCGATTACAACTGTGGAAGCCGTGGCAGTACCGCAAAAATCAACGAATACACAACATGATAGTACCGAGTATGATGATGACGATGACTATGAAGACTATGAGGAAGAACCACCCAAACCAGCAACCCGAAACATCATATCCCAAGTGGATACGCACCAAAAGCAACATATTATCCTAGATCCTCTCAAAGATATGGATGTCACGGTGACTCAAAGTAAAGGTTCCTTTCCGCCAGATGGCACAGTAATAGGTCCTGGAGAGAACATACCTGGAAGCCCAGGTTATCGTATCCCGCTAGGGTTCAGAGGTACAGTGAAATCCATGGCAAATGGAAAGAATACTTATGCCATAGGAAGGAATTCACAAGCTCAGAGTGTTACATTGTCCCCTGGTACTGGGAAAATCATCTACACCAGGCCAATATATGCTGTCACTTCAAACACACAGTCAAGAAATGGTCAATATGGATATGGGTCTGGTTATACGTTCCAGCCCGCTTATCAGCCAGTGAAGTATCAGTTCAAAAACGGAAAGACATTGCCCGATTTTGTATCGGTTACAAAGTCGGAAACAGGGTCAAAAAATTTGGTAACAGGGAAGAAAACGCCCAGTGTTTCTTATACGCAGTCATCTACTTGTGGTATTTTTATAAATCATTGTGTTTATAATGCGGGAAAAAAGTTGTGCTTCCCTAAGGCGAAAACTAATCCAGATGGTACCATAATGGGCTGTTAAAATTGTATTATTTTTTATTTATGAGTCAAGAATCAATTGAGTTCATTGCTCAATGTTGATTGCTTCACTTTAATGTTAAGTTGATTTTTTCCATCTGTATATAAATCATAATGTCATATGTAACCTTAAGAATTTAAACAATATGTATAAGTATCGTAATTCTGTAAGATTATTCAAATATTTTTAATTAAGTAAATTCATTGAACTAAATTTCACAAATATTTCAACAACAGTTGATTTATTGTATTCTTTATCTCTACATGAAATTATTCATGTTACTGAAACAAAAGTCTCGTACCTACTCAAATGATATGAATAACTCCCAACTTCTATTCTAATATATGTGCTTAACTACATTTTACTCAAAACTATAAACACTACTTACCTGTAACTTCGTTTTCAAAATACAACACATGAAATACTTGTAACTTTTAGGATATATGAACATAGGATCAGGATATTTATAATCTTCCGACAAAAACAAACCAGAGACTTATCAAAATATTTATTTTTGTCGAATTCTGTGTTATATGTTTTCTGTCAATAAATTCATGTTACCATCTACCTTATGTTATATTCTTTGAAATTCAACAGGATACCAATTCAATTGCCTATTGTTATTATACAGTAACTACCCGTCATGAATACAAAAGTAAGTATTTTGCACATCTTACACTAAACATCAGTTACCTTAGACTACCTATTGCTTTAGTACGTACTTATCACAAATTATATCATTGCCTAACCAGGGATATTGGAGAATTTTTCTTTGGCAACCGTTTTCTGGTATATTATTGTAACTATCAGAGCATTACAGAACTTGATTGTCTTAGGAATATACCAAATACCTACCCATTTTTCGAGTTTTTTGTTTAGATCATCTCCTGTATTTAAAATATTAGATTCAATGGACTCATACATGTAAAAAAATATCGCTACACCCAGCATTTTCTAGATTACTCTATATCAAACATGAAACTGAGCGTGGTTTTTTGTTTAACGTGCGATTGTCTACATTATATGATTGTGGATGCATCCCTGGTTAAACATAATTCAGAAATTCGCAATATAGGCCAGTAAATAAAATGCTGCAAACATATTTAAATTGCGCTGTGTTGAAACTTTAAGCTTCAATTTTGATTCTGTCGCAAATAGACTATTCTATTCACTGGCCCGAAAAGACGCAATGGGCAAAGTCATCACTCTATCACCTTTTTATAACCATTTCAAAATCTGTCATTTAGCTGCTACGAATAACTAGCAGCTCAATTTTTTGCAACAAGCATGATCATGTTGGATTCATCACCTAATCATCTTTTGCCCATTGTCGTTTTACAAAATACACCACAGTATCAAACAATAAATAATATTTGGAACTCACAGTAAGATCGTATCTAACATTTGTACAGGTAGAAAAATAGATCAATAAATAAAAATGAACACACGTAAGAATACACAATCATTACAAATAGCCCTAGTACGACACTAGCGTTTGTGTGTTGAGAATCAGAGGAAGAGGTAAATTAGAAACACCCTGAACATTTTACGTGAATCAACACATGTGCTGAAGAGTTTGACGTAATCAAAAATTCTATGTTGTGAAATAATTCGTAGGGCTTGATAAGTGAAAAAGTAGATCATTTTGAGATGAAGCTTTTAAATTCTTCACATATTTATATGATACAAAGAAGCGTGCATTTTATTCATCATGCTGAAAATTGAGCCAAGTAACTTCCACAAATAAATCAACTTCTTTATATCCTCGTTGGTCATTTACGAGACGCTATCGTAAATTTTCGCAAATATCCATTATTTCACTTCGTTTGGCTCCGATGCTTATTTCAACAATGACACTATCTGCATCAATCAAGTATTGAAGAAAATTAAATAAAATCATTAGGTTCTTCATCGCTCGCATCTTCTAACATCGTGCCGCGATGAGACAGCAGACTGGAGGAACTACAGTTACGTAACCTGTGTGGAAAAATTATATGTCAGCGCAATACGTTCAGTCGTGCCACTTATTGTAATGGTAATTTTCTTAAAACCTTCGCTAAATAGCATATCTTATCGGGAACAAATGAGATGAAAATAGTTTTCTGACCACGGATACCAGGTAGCCTTTATATATATATATATATATATATATATATATATATATATATATCGAAGCAGCCGCTCAGGCAGAAGCCTAAATGCCGGAACACCGCGGCTGGTATGCTGATCCCAAAGAAATTTTGTTAATACGATTTTTGAACTACCTAAGGTTAGTAGAACTGGGAAAAGCTTCCTCTTGTAGATTGTTCCACAATCTAGACACCGCTGGGACAAAGGAGCGGTCGTATCGGCCAGTTCTGGATGTACGAAGTTCGACACGGTTAGGTTGGTACGCCAAGTCAGGCGGGTCTGTCTGGAAGGCACATCACGCGGAGGCATCATGGAAGCGGGCTCTGAGGAGCAAAGGCCTTTGGTGTAGCGGTAGAATCACCGACGGCTCGCCGGTGCGAAAGAGTCCCGAGACTGTCTGTTAGAGAAGAGTCACCGATCAGTCGGACCGCCCTCCTCTGGACAGCATCGAGCATAAATAATGTAGTCGGGGCGGCAGCACCCCAAACGTGCGAGCAAAATTCGAGGTTAGGCCTTATCTGGGCTTTGTGTTGAGTGAGAAGGTCATGCGGAGAAAAGTACTTCTTAGCCCTAAACAAATAGCCTAGCTTTTTCCCAGCAGCTGCCGCTATTGACGAGATGTGTTCGTGCCAGATCAGGTCCTCGGTGATCTGGACTCCGACCAGCCGAAATGAATGGTTCTTTGGCAGAACTCGGCCATCCATCAAAGTACAGTACTGTGTTTTGGAAGCATTAAACTGTACAAGATTTCTGCGTCCCCAAGCAGTAATAGCCTCCAGGTCTCTTGTCAGGGAGGAAGTCGTCGCTCGCCTTCTGTTTTCCAGCTCAGCGGCAGAGATCGGCTTGTCACTCTTAATTCCTGCATGTAGAGTGCTGTCATCAGCGAAGCTGTAGGGTGTTGTCATCAGCGAAGCTGTGGATTGGGTTGATCGTGCAGGAAAGGAGGTCGTTGATATGTAAGAGGAACATTGTCGGAGCCAAGACCTGGGGAACACCCGCGTTGACGTTGTGGGATGAAGACAAGAACCCATCTGCAAAGCTTTTCTGGGAGGCCATAGGTTGGAAGTTTGCTTAAGAGGGCAGCGTGCCACAGCTGATCGAACGCTTTCGTGATTCAAGAGGAACGGCATGAGCTTCACCAAAGACTGGATGAGTTTACTCCACAAATGCGTGACGTAGGTTAGGAGGTCCCCTGTGGATCGTTGGCGCCGGAAACCATACTGCCTGTCGCTAATCAAGCTGTGACGTTCGAGGTAGTCTAGAAGCTCGCGATTTATGCACCTCTCCATCACCTTACTTATAACAGAAAGCAGAGCTATAGGTCTGTAGTTGTAAGGGTCGGTGTTAGATCCTTTTTTTGGGATGGGCTGTACATGAGCAAATTTCCAGTTTTCTGGGAAGGTGCCGGATTCATAAGATATCTGGAAGAGAAGCGAAAGAACCGGAGCAAGCTCCGCTGCACATCTCTTCAGTACAATGGCAGGAAGCTTTGTTGATGTCGAGCGACAAGAGCACTCGTCTTACGGTCTTATGCCTGGATGTTACCTCCCGCATAGTGTGGGGAACCCTTTGAATTGACAGCACTTGGGCGTTGGTGGGGACGTCCATGGTGGAGTCGGCAGCAAAGATCTTGGCTAGCACTTCCGCCTTGGCCTTTGAGTCGGATACAATCGTTCCATCTTGACACGTAAATGGTTACTCTGTGAGAAGTTCTTTTCAATCTGCTTGGCCAGCGTCCAGAAAGACCGACTGCCATTGCGCTGCGACATTACTCTGCGCCCAACTTTTATATCGTGCTGGTTTTTGGCATTGCGAACCGCTTCATTATATTTGTTTCTGGACTCGACGCCGGCTTGTATGTTCTCCACAGTGGGGTTTTGTAAGAAGGTTCTGTGTGCCTTGATCTTCTGCTGGCGAGCAGTGTCACACGATTTGTTAAATCAGCCGTTGGACCCAGGTTTAGGCACTTTTACTGTGTGAGGGACGTATTCCTCCATTCCGACGTGGATAATTTCGGTTATCGAAGAACAGACAGTCGACGCATCCGCGCCAATGAAATAGTCACCCAAGGAAACGTAGAGAAGAAGTCTCTGAGCCCCTCCCAGTCGGCATGTCCGTAATGCCAAGTTTTGCGGCCTGTACGAGTTTCTGCTGCCACAGCTGCTTCTGACCGAAACCTAACCTCCAACAACACCGTGGTCTGAGTTACCCAGGGGGGACAGGACAGAAGTGCTGTAAGAGACAGTATGGGTGGTCAGAAAGAGATCAAGCAGGCTACTGGCATGTGACGAGCCGCGGGGGAAAAAGTGGTAAGAGCGAACGCTTCGATTGCACGACATGCTGCCTCGGCCTTGTTTGAGCCCAACCAAAGCTCATTATGGGCATTGAAATCACCGAGAAGAACTACCTCTGAAGCGGGTGAGTGATGTTCAGGAAGTCGACCTTGACGGCGAGGTATTCAAGTAGCTCATCCCAGTTATGGTCCAAGGGAAAGCGATAAAGGCAGCAAATAAATTTGCGTGATGTTTTGGAGTTGAGGCAAAGCCACATAATGTCCTTCCGGTCTGATTCCAAAGAAACATCTCTGGAGCTGGAAAGACTGCTGCGGACAAAAGCCACAACTCTCTCGTTCTTTCTCAGATTGAAGTGCACCTCGTAATTTGGGAAGTTAAGATGGTTAATCAATGCAGACTCTGAGATTTTTGTCTCCGCCAAGAAAAGCATGGCGAGACGATTGGATTGCAGGTAGTGATGAACAGCATCAATGTTGCTGTTGATCCCACAGATGTTCGTAAAACAAATTTTATCTTCGATGTTGTTCCATCGAGCCCACAATCCAGCCGCACATTCCGAGAGTGGAGTGTGTTTACGTCCGGAATTCTTGGTGCTCGAGGGATCCATCATCATTAATTTCTTTGTTTTGGAAGATAACCGACTGCATAGCTTAGGTGTGGAAACATGCGGACATTTATAAGACATTCTGGGAAAAGCTAGCGGGTGGTACCGCCTCGGTCGACTGGTCCCTGTCTACCGCCTTCTTTTTGCGTGCTAGTGATATTAAATAGACCTAAAGTGGCCCGTTGGCGGACCTGCACCGCCACCCAGCAATCGGTACTGAAGTATTCCTTAACGCGTGTACAATCACTTGAACGGAAGAAGTTGTAATATACTGGATACAACAACTTCCGGAACAAGCATTTGCCACGGCCCGGTCAGTAGGGGTTAAAAGTACAGATCAAAATAATATCGTTATTTGATGGTCGAAACTCTAGGAAAAAGGGAATGTCTACACACTCGTATGTGGTATGATTTGGCCATAAAAATATGGAGTTCTATCAGCGCGCAATCCACAGGGTAAGTTTATGAGGTTGCATTCTGCATTAAAATATATTTTATTTTCGAAATAAAAGACAATCTACAGCAATGCGTTATTTAGTGAATTCACTAAATACAAGAGATATGGATAAAGTATAATTGTTAATATATCATAAAAAACCCTTATGAAAATGCGTCCAAGAAAAAACATGAAACAAAACTTGCAACATAAGTGGAACTACATATGTATAACTGAGTGATGTAACATGAGAGAAGCATGTTGAAAGTCTGAACATTTACTTTGCATTGGAAATACTTCCAGTACAACCATATCCTGAGTCCTGCATTAATACTGAGTAAAACAGCACTTACTTAAAACTTTGTTGAAAAAGTTCCTGGATAGGAAATAATGTTAGATACTTACTATAAAATAAATGAATATTCCTCATGCAATATGAGACATTTCAGGCCATGTTCCATTTAACGTAAGCATGCACTTTTCATACAAGCCGATCCAGTCCAATCCCACCAGCATGCAACTGATTGAAAACATTCTGTTAGCAGAATTTTATAGCAGTTATTATAAGCAAATAAAAAATGGAATGTCACTACTGACAAATACTTGTCTCCTCATTAGTTCAATTTTTCAAGGAACTACAAAACGTGTGTACAGTATTCCGTTTTAGAATGAAAACACGAATAACTTAAAGGACACAATAAAGTTATTTAACTGAATGCTTCAACGAATAAAAGACCGGTAGAATTAAATCACAATTTTAGTGAGTTAAAAAGTAACTAAAAACACAAAACCACACAGAAGGAGCTTAATATCTTGTGCTTAAATCATAAGAGTATTTTTGAAACTAATCTAAACATTGTTATGCAAGATTCTAGACAGGGAAAACAACAATTGTCTGACGGCTTGCGTTCAATGTGTACGAGAGAGAAGCGCGAGAAGTTTGTACCAACACGTGTTAGAAAGAGATAGAAGGCGGTTGACGAACATCCCCACATTTCCCAGTGACGCAGAAGGTCGTGTAAAAAATGTCCGCCTAGGTTGCTACACTAGATTAGGTTATTGTCAAACCCAAGAAGGAGGTCTGTTTGAACATTGAATTTAATATATATTTTTTAATTTTGATTAGAATTATTTATTCCAATTGTGATGCGAATAAGTGTTTTAATTTATTTTAGAATTATCTTTGTTTTCCACCGATGGTAATAAGATCAACACATCATGAGTTATTGTTACATTCAGACAGATTCGATACAATTCACAATTCAAAAATGTGTACGCTCAAAATAAAATCATTACTAGAGAGCGTAGAGAATAAACTAACCTCTCCCTCGCACATATTGAATTCAAGCCGTCAGATAATTTGGTTTTCAGTGTATATCTAGTCGGCTATTCTTGTTGCTATGAATGTACCATCAAAGACTGTTGTATTAGGTGTACTTTAATCATGCTTGTGTAATTTTCGTTCATTATGCACATTCAAAATACTTAAGAATATAAAACCAGTCACGAGTAAGACCGAAAGAGAAAGTTGTTACAAGATGCTACAAAGTTTTTAGATATTAAATTCCATAAGTAACCCTTTTTTCCAAAAAGTTAACTGAAGATACCTTCAATGTGGTATCTTCCTAGGCGTGAATATACATGTCAGATACAATACGTGTTACTATTTGTGTGCGAATGTTTAAATTGGTTTGTCACCCAAAACACATTCACAACTATATTTTGGAGTTTAATTTTGAAAAACATCCCATCGTAAATCTGAAATCTGAACCGACGTATAAACGGACATTGAAGACGAAAGCAACAATTATTGTGTACTTACACATTCAGTCTCGTCAAATAAAGCCATCTCCTCGCCACCATCTTCTTTTTCCATGCTGCATATTTGAGAAAGCAAAAAGTGTATTAATGATCCATCTAAACCATCCACCATGTACAAAGTCAAAAATATCAACCATCACCGTTTTAGTAGCTCTAAATTTGAAATTACCAACCAAAAGGAGTATGAAAAATGTACACTCCTGAAATAAAAAATCTACGAATATGGAACTTCTTGGGTCACTTACCTATCGCTACTAATACTATAAATGTGAAGATGTCTGTTACTCAATCATGCCAAAATGGCTGACCGAATCAGGATGAAATTTGACACAGAGATAGACTTTTCTACTTCATGGACTACAGCTCAAACGACTTAATGGGATTGACAGTTTTGTTTGATGTCTTGTGATACTGCTTATATTTATTATAATCCATGTATGTGAATGTCTGCCCAGTCTGTCAGCATCATGTCTGAACCACAATACGGAGAGATGTAACATTTTGTGCACTTATTAATTTATACCTAAGGAAGGTGGTTATAGGCATGATGTTTTCCGCGATCGTCGATTTTGCCTATTATATATTAACGTCTCATGCTCCTTTTTCAACAGCCTGTCTGGAGGTGTATTTTCATTGAATTTTGTCTGTTTCATGGTGTGTATAAAGATAACTGAAAAACAATGTTATCAGTTCTTTTTAAAAATTGTAATTTTTGTGCATTTTTTATTCAATCGTAACTTGTTAACAAATAATAGTACAGCTCTAAAATTGTATGTGAACATTCCACTTTTATGGAAGAATTAAACGGATGATTCCTTTTTCTTATCACTTTCTCTCTTCAAGAAATATGTTTGTTTGAAAACTTAAATAGCTGCAAAATGAGGTTTCAAGAAAATTAAAGATTTTTTCGAAGAAAAAAGTTATAAGAATAGAAGTCATCACCTGCTCAATTCTAATATAAAAGTGGAATTTTGATATATTCAGAGCTGTACTAATATGTGATCCAATTGAAGAAAAAATGTACAATAAAATGAACAAAAAATGTGTTTCAGTCATCTCTGTACACACCATGAAATAATCATATGAAAAGGATTTAGAATACTGCTTCAAACAAGCTGTTGAACAACATGCGACCTTGAGTACCCAAACATCCCAAAAAAACTTGGCAAGCACGCATTTTTTGGCAGAAAGATTTTAAGAAAAGTTTCTGGACATCACCTCAAATTTTTGGAAGCACGGATAACAAGCTTATAGGTCTGAGATGTTCAAGTTCAGTAGGATTTGCGATTTTAAGCACAGGAATATTTAAGGTCAGCTTCGACTGTTTAGCGTGTTGTACTTTTGCTAAACAAAAAATTATTAGGTGACGGATATGAGAGTAAGTTAAAGGAAGACTTACTTTGATCAAAATTGCAGTGCGATTTCCCATCAAAAAATGTGTGGTTGCCAAGTTTTGGGGGTGCTTGGGTATTTCATTGACACCTTGTAAATATAGGCAAATTCGACGATGAGTTCGCGGATAAAACCATATCAGGTATAAATTAATAAGTGTGACACATTTTTATGACTCTTCATACTGTGGTTCAGACGTGATGCTGACAGACTGATGATACATTCACATTTATATTTTTTATACTCCAACTACCACGAAGGCCTAAACATCCATGGGGTACCGTGGGGCTATAGGGGGATACAGGGGAAAAGGGGGGACGCCACACCGACTCTAGCGAGGAAACACGTGTGCATGCAGCATGCACACATTCTGGTCCCGTCTACGAGCGGTCTTGCATTAAAAAGTTGAATAAATAATATCTATTAACTACTGTGTAACTTTGAATATGGCACTTCGTTCTCCAAAGCTAATCTCTTTCAAACTAATGCAAAGCGTATGACATATACTTTACACTTCTTCGCCACGAGCGGAGTCGCTGGTCTAGGATAGTGTTCTGATAATTTTCGAATATACCGTAAAAGGCATGTACTATTGTAATTCAAATGAAACATCCTACATTATCACACGTTCAGAACTAAACGCACATGTGCTTTCCAAAATATTCGTCTCAGAAGTTCATGTTTCAGTAAATTTTATTGATCTTTGTTGTTCCAACGCCTTCGGTGTTTGTTCGGAAGTAATTGGTTACTTGAAAAATATGCGTTAAATATACGAGTACTCAGTGACATTATTTATTTATTTATTTATTTCCAACAGGTGAAACCCAATTACAGGAAACGCTGAAAAAATAGCAATTAAAGAGACATGGTTCTTGGACTTAAATCTATAGTATCACACATTCTAAATAAGATTGGATGATCTATAACAGTTAATAATCGTTGCACAACTGTCACTGTAAATATCACACGATTCAGTAACACTGTTCATGACGCAGCACATGAAATTAATTGGCGATTTTGTCATAACATTTGTACGGCCAGCTTGACAATAGAATGCCATTTGTTGTCGACTCCCTAGCCTTGGAACGCGGAAACATATTTTTTCAAGTAAATTTTGACAGTCAATTTTGTTGTGAATGAGGCCATACAAAAACGACAAAGCAAATATGTTTCGTCTTGTTGACAGTGAATCCAAATTGAAAGACTCTAATAGGGCACTATGGTCACAACCTCTTTCTGGATAAGAACCTGTGCATTTAAGGTGAAAATACTTTACAGCTTTACGTTGAATGGCCTCAAGGATCACGACAGAATTTTGGTATATAGGAGACCAGATCAGAGTTGCATACTCCAACTTGCTCCTGACAAGAGTAAAAAATAAAGTTATTAATGTATCAACATTGGAGAAACCCTTCCAGTTTCTGATACAGAAACCAAGTAGTCGAGTGGCAGCCGACGAGATATTGAGTATGTGCTCAGTAAACGTTAGCTTGGTATCAAATATGACTCCAAGGTCTCTATAAGAGGTGCATCTGTCTATAACCTGACCATTGATGTTATAATTATCATAAATTAAATAGTTCACTTTTCTTGTATAAGTCATAACTTTACATTTCGAAACATTCAGACTGAGACAGTTTCGTAAACACCATGACGAAATTAGAGCTAAGTCATCTTGCAACATGACGCAATCCTCGACTGTCTTGACTGACGTGCAGATTTTGAGGTCATCAGCGAAAAACAAATGGAAACACTTCAGTTCAAAAGACAAGTCATTAATAAATATTAAAAACAATAATGGACCTAGATTTGAACCTTGAGGTACCCCAGACGTGGCCCGATAGTAACTCGACCTATGACCACCATATTCGACAAATAACCTTCTATCCCTCAAATATGAATTCATGAGCGACAGCGACAGAAATGTTACACCCAGAAAAAATAATTTCTTCAACTGATTTTTTTGGCAATGAGGTAGTCTTACATCAAGAATGAAACGATAACATTGTCACAAAATTTTATTGACAAGTGATAAGAAAAAAACTAATGTGTTGGGCGACCCCGCAGCTGAATACACCCCTGTATACGTCTAGGCATCGACAAAATGATATGATCGATGTCTAGTTGCGGCACCTCATTCCAAGCAACTCGAATTTCGTGGCTTAGCTGTGACAGAGCCTGTGGCGCCTGGTGCAAAGTGGATAGTCTCCTCCCCATCATATCCCACACATGTTCGATGGTATTTAAATCCGGTGAACAGGGTGGCCACGGCAAAACATTAACGCCTGCTTTTTGAAGAATGTCCGTAGTACGACAAGCAATATGGGGTCGTGGGTAGTCTTGCTGAAAAAGAACTGGTGCACTGCCCTCTAGATACGGAAGTAAAGTTGTTTATACGTCATCATCAACATAACGCGCAGCAGTCATATTGCGTTGAACAAAGACTTGGGGTGATCGGCTACCAGAGCCAATAGCCCCCCTCCGAAAGTCTTGTATACATGCCTCTCAACAGCAAATCCAATATCACGCCGTTCTCCACGGCGGCGTCTTACCCTTCTACGACCATCGTGCCTACCTAGACAGAATCCCGATTCGTCGCTGAAGATGACATTACGCCATTCTGCCTCCCAATGTTGCGGTTCTCTGCTCCAGTTCAAACGTTGACGACAGTAGTCCGCAGTCAGAGGAAGCACTAATCGTGGACGGAAAAAAGTCCAAAGGCTCGAATGCGGCGATAGAGTGTACGCATTCTAAAAGGTCTACGTTCTTCAAACCATTGGTCAGCGATCTGACGCGTAGTAGTTTGCTACTACGGTCTCGTAGGGCTAGTTGTCTGAAGAGACTGTGGTATGCCTCGGTGTACCAGTTGACCTTCTTCGTCTTCCTTTATCTTCTTCTATGCCCACACGACACACACGCATCACCGTCATAGCAGTACAATTAACACGGCGGCTAATTTCGCGATAGGACAAACCAACATCTCGATGAGCAATAATTCTACCCATGTCAAAGTCGCTAAAATGGTGATAATTTGGACGTCTTCGAACTCGAGGCATTTTCTTATACTTAAAACTAGTGAATGAAAGGGGAATATTTCAAAATATCTGTACTACTCAGCTCTCAGAAATTGTTTTCTTCACAAAAAGATTTTAACAAAGGTAAACAAAACCAAAGTTAAAACGTAGACATTGCTGCCGCAGCATGCTTTGAATATAGTCATTATGCTGCCAAAAAACAAGTTGAAGAAATTATTTTTTTCTGGATGTAACTCTTCTAATATCACCGAGTATAAAATTAGGAACATTTATGGTACAAACAAATTTCGGCATACGTAGTTGAAAGTCAAACGTCGGGTTAACGTTCTCTTAAGGACATGTTCGTTTCTTGTTTGTGATTAGGTCTGCTTGGTTTTGGATCACTGTTTTGTGGTTAACATTTGCAACTAAAAAATTGGAGTCATAAACTGAGGATAATTGCATTTTTGTGCATTTGTATTGTACTGCTACTGCTACTGCTTTCCTTATAACATGAAATCAAGAACCCGGTAATCTTCTCAGAATCTTGAAAACCAAATGAAATTCGCACAAAACCGTCTTCCAAAATTAGCGTTTGTAGGTTATGAATGCATATGACCAAGCAGGGACGATACTAGTTGTCACTGGATGTTTCGAGAAAGAAATAAATGTTCTGAACAATAATTATTGAACATTTTGCAGGAACCAAGCCTCTGCATCAAACAATTTATCTAGAGCAGTCTTTCCAGAAGAGGATGATAACACCCCTCCTTGTGGGCGCTGGATACGTACAAGGGGTGGGGAGAGGGTGAACAGCTTGGAGGAAATTGGAGGGTGGGGAAAAAGAGAGCACGATACTACATTAATCCATACTGTATATTTTATGAGAAAAATAAATATCAAAAAATCGGACTTAGTTTGGTTACAGAAACACCCGAGTGTAATCCTATAGGATTAAGTCTTATGAAATATCTGTTTTGTTGGGTCAAAAAGTGAACTGAGTGTGGTAGACCTGCGCGTATTAGAACATGACATTATCTGAAAAACAGCATAGCTTTTCATTCTTCAATTATCACGCTTTATTATAAAATAAAATTAAACGTTACTAATCAACAAAGTAGAGTCATGCATATAGAAGTTCACTAGGAATTGATTGCCGTCTGAGGAAGGATCTTTTTTTGGATTTTAAACAAACCACGTTTCCTTGAGGAACATTTTCGTTTCATTGTAGGCTGTAAAAGTTCCAAGATTTGCAGTTTCAGCCTAATTTCCAAAACTACCAAAATATTTAACAATAAAAATTTACAGTTTCCCATATTTTCAAATTTGAAAATGCTGTTCATTTTGAGTAGTTGTAAATAGTGCAATTTTCGAAAAAAAAACTACTATGAAATACAAACGCAAAATCCTCCCTTGAATATTCTCCAAGGAAGCGTTATTGCTTGTTTAAAATTCAAAAAGAAATTATTTCTCAAACCGCACTCAATTTTCCTTCTATAAAATGGTCCTTAATGACAAACGTACGATAAACACTAAAAATTTTACTTCTATGTTATATGAATACACTAACCTGGTATGAAGATGCTGAAGTTGTACTTGGAAATTATCCACTTGCTCTTGCAACTCATCATTTGTCCTCTGAAGCTTCCTGATGTTATTCGCAGCTGCGTCTAGTTCATCCTCAGCTACAGCAAGATCTCTCTTCAATTCTTCTATCCTACCCCTCAATTTCTTGACTTCAGATTCATATTGTTCAGCTCTACGCACTGCATGAGCTAACTCGGTCATTTTATCTTGAACCATCTTTTTCAGCTTTGTTTGGGAATGTTTCAACTCGGCGATTTCCTGAAAAGAAACCAAGAACCTGAGTAGTGGGTCAGATCAAGTATTTTTGAAACTTCAGTTTTGAAATGAAATACAAAGTGAAGGGTACAGGCAAAGAATAGGGAATGTCACAATTTTTACTTTTTTAGTTTCCCATTGGAAGCAAATCTTTGTATATGATATTTTCACTTCCAATCGTTAGCCTTCAAAATAAGAAACCAGATAGCGCCAAAAAGACATTTTTGTTTATGGCCCAAACGAAAAGAACTGGGAATGTCCATGCCATACTGGCAAAGAAGAAGGATTGTCCAAAACGACAGTTGTAATTTTGAGATTAGAATTTATATGAAGTTGGCAGCATAATAATGTCAAGTTGAATATGTTTTACCTGATTCAGATAATGTTGAAAATAATCAGACTATTATTAACAAATTAACAAACAAAACTGGCAGAACCGAAGATGTAATGTAAAAGTTGCGACTTTCTGCTCATGAAAAAGGGGCACCATAATTGTTCAACGTTCAAAGGTTTTGAAAATATAAATGGAAATAATCAAAGAAATATTAAATATTTCAATTCATTCCCAACTAGCAAAGTAGTGCTATAAGCTTTTGGTAAAAGAACTGTTCAGCCGTAAAGGCTCTCTATTGTTGTTGCCTGAACACCAAAATGCTGGCTTAATGTTGTGTGGAATGCAAATTTGCTTTCTGCATCATATTTGCTCTAAAATGAGGTGTATAAAATATTCTTATAGCATTGTTATACAACACCTTATAAGACAAATTTTGAACGGTTGCATAAACGTTTATACAACTATTTTATACGGCATATTTGCGCCGCAGTGAAAATAGTTGTGTTGCGGCATCCATGGTAACGTTTATACAACAAACCCGAGCCTTGTTGTTTTGGTGTGCACATTTACTACTTTAGCCAACAAATGTCTCCCAACGGAAGCACTTATACAACTGTCGTTTAGTAACTGTTGAAGGCTGTACATCTGCAACAATATTCCAACTTTTATAGTACAAAATTGCTGTGCTCGACAGACATTTGTTGCTAAATATGTTGATATACAACTTCACCATAACCTAACCTTCTGCTGTCATCTTTTTAGTTAAAATTATTATTTTTATTATTAGTTAATATTTTAAGACATGCATATTGGTTTAAAAGGTTTTATCAATTGTTCAAACAGGAGATATAGATCTGGTAGATATTCTAGGTAAATCATTCGACTCTATCCGTATTTTATTTTAGAGATTTGTCAAATTGTTGTATAACACTTGCAGACAACACCAAAATATTCTAATAAACAAAAGACAACATGGACGATACCATGATTATACATAACCAACCGCCATATTGGGCAAAAATATATTCCTCTATTGAAAATTAATTATGTTTCAGTTCGACATTACATATATAAAGTGATAAACATTAGTGCAATTGTGTCTAAATATAGGATTTGTGGAAGATTTAACGCAGATAAGTTCAGTTTTTCATCTTAAAAATCTAAACACACTTTTGATCATTATTAAAATATGAATCAAATACGAAGCCCGTACAAATTGCGTAACTACTTTGCACGATAATCACAATAAAATTTGCTGCGCACGTAATTCAATAGCCCTATATCACCGTGTAGAAGTTTATCATATACCTGTGTATGAAATTCATAATGGCCGATATGTAAGTAAACAAGATGACTGTAATGTGTTAGTTATCGCCTATACAATACATAATAAATAGTTCGTTTGCAATAAAGTAGAATCATGTAACAGAATAGTTGTATAGTTGACAAAACCTGAATCTTGCACCGACGCAAATGTTCTATAGCTGCTGCAAGAGGTTTACACTTTTGTTGTATAGCTGGTACCTGCAGCCCTTATACAACCTCTTAAATGACTGAAGTGTCCTATTAGGTGTGCCCATTCCGATTGCATAGCTGTTATAAGAGCGTTTTGCCAATGTTCTTACAGCATATAATGCTGTGAAAGGAAGACTGTATAATCGTTGTTGCAACTCTAATAGGAGTGATAATTGTTAGTTGGGTTGGGTAGTGTTAGTGAACAGAACTTATATTTGTCAGGGCTAATAAATGTTTATAATGTGAAACGAAGTGCAAGCAGGAAGTTTAAACCTGAGAGTAATTTTCATACAGCTGCATGCAGCAAAGTGCGAGTAAAAGGTGGAGATATCAACAATAATGTTATAAAAGATGACTGATTGCACTTCATGGAATGATGAAAGAAAAGGCTGAATATCTACAAAAAAAAACATAAAAACAACAGAGAAAGCTCCAGTAGATCAAAGAGAAAAGCATGAAAATAGTAAAAAAATTGTATCAGAGATTAAGGAAAAATATTTTAATCATATTAACTCATTTAAAGGAAGATTGAGTCATTACACTTTAAAAGGCAGTAGGAAACTAAAATATGATTCAAAAACCAAACATTCTGATAACTGAATTGGACATTCATCGTTTTTTACTTGTTTCAAAATGTTTCATTTGGTTTTTGTTCAATTTAAATATGTTTAACAACTGAAAGGTCCAACGTCAACAACAAAATATTAGATATAAAACATTCAATTAGTTCCAAGTAAAAGTTACTGCATACTTTCTCATTAAAAATAGTATGCTCTCAAACTTTCAATTACATTTTTCTTGAAATCAGTTCATTAGGACATTCCCTGTTATTTGACTGTACCCTTCAAGTGTTCTGAAAGTTGGGACTTGGGTAAAACAGCAGCCTGAAATAATAAAACAATGGCGTCACTTGGCACGCAACGCCGTTATGAGTTCATAAAGGAAAATGTTTCCACAAACTACATCCTCTGAGAAAAAAGTCAATCAAACAGGTCCATAAAATTCCTTCTTTCCCTGTCCTACCGGTAGTCAATCTGGCAGTCACCTCTCTCGGGAACCTAACGTGTGATCCAGAACACTCACCAAAGTTGGCGGCACGCGCCGGTAGGCTCGCAATCCTATTGAGAATATATTTTTTTAAGTTTTAAGTGCTAATGTACGGAGAAATATGTTATTTACGTCTGATAGAACTTCTACCCCCAAATTTTTATTTTTTTTGGTATTTGGTTTTTGGTAAAAATAAGAAAAACACTCACTGCTCATCTGATAAGGAATTTCAAGTACTGCCCTGTCACATGTAGGGTCCGAATGCATGTAAGTTTTTGGCAGAAGTCGATGTTCAGGTTTTAACATAACCTTCGGTCGACGTTGAAGGTTGTCTTAAACATAAATAATGAAGGTTTGTGCCTCCGACTCCACTTCTTTCCAGTGGAAACTACCGTTTTATAGGTGATATTGTTTCTAGGTCTTACACTGTGTCCACCTTGACGTTCTTACAACCAGCCTTTGTAAGACATAAACCTATCCGGTGCGAGATAAAAACGTGCAGAAAAGCGATCAAACATGAAATTTATCAGTTAGCTAATGCTACAGAAATGTGCGATTTTTTGTCTTTTCATACGTCGTATCCTTACACGCTGGAAGCAGGGCCAACTGTAGTGTATGTTTAACTAAGAAAATTACTTATTCTTACAAAAAACAGACACTCTGTGAAGTCTCAACTTTAAAAACACCATGTATTAGCCAATTTTGATGAGACTTAAATTCTCAGTGAAGTGCACTTACTTTATTTTTATCAGCTAATTCTTGCTGCAAATGCCTTATTTCAGCATCTGAATTTGTAACTGGACGTCCTTTCCTTTCCATTCTTTCTTGCATATCTCTCAGTTCACTTCTCATTTTTTTATTTTCCCGATCGAGAGCAAGTTTCTCTGTTTCCAAACGTTCTCTCTTTCCCCACTCTGCAGCGTTTTCTGCTTGGAGCCTCTCAAGCTAAAAAAAATGGCGTCAAGCAGGTTGAGTATACACTTCCCACGCAACGCCGTCATCAGTTCATAAAGGATTATGTTCAGCACAAGTTAGATCCTATCGACTGCACCATAGACCTTATATCCCGGAAAGAGGACAGTTACTATGCTTTCACAAGTTGTTCCAGAGACCAAGCTGACGAGTTGCCAAAAAAGCAAGAAACAGCGGTCTGGGGTTAGCTGTCCTTGGTTGGGCGAGTGAAGGCAGTGTGTTCAAGTTGGACCTTCTAAGAAAAAAGTTAGTTACGAAACGGATGAAATTTGTCAAACTGGTTCGTAAAATTAGTCCACAAGATCCTTTCCCTACACATAGTACCTTTAATATGGCAACAGCAAGCATTATGCCTTTTTTTCTTTTTCGTCATTGTCTGTCAAGGCAGTCCGTGGGGCTGACAAACCGCACCTCCGGTATAGAGGATCAATGTGATGCTTTCGTTTGTTTGTCCCATGCTGATTAGTAGCTAAGAAGCACAAAACATCTGTCCATGGTTGGCTGTCTTATTTTCTTGGTCGGACAGACGAAGACATCCCATTTTATTTTGACCTGTTCAATCAGGCTAGCTGACCCCTCTGCATTCTGCCAGGATCATCAGCCATTTAGCGGCACAGCTATTGAATGGGAACTACGACGGTTCCAACTAATAGCAGCGGTACGCGATTTACAATGATTCAATTCTGGTGCGATAGATGGCGCTTCACGCTATCTCATACGTCAGTCAGTTTGTTATTATATGGGCCTGGTCACCCAGAAACCAGACATTTATTTATTTATTTATTTCCAACAGGTGAAACCCAATTACAGGAAACGCTGAAAAAAAATAGCAATTAAAGAGACATGGTTCTTGGACTTAAATCTATAGTATCACACATTCTAAATAAGATTGGATGATCTATAACAGTTAATAATCGTTGCACAACTGTCACTGTAAATATCACACGATTCAGTAACACTGTTCATGACGCAGCACATGAAATTAATTGGCGATTTTGTCATAACATTTGTACGGCCAGCTTGACAATAGAATGCCATTTGTTGTCGACTCCCTAGCCTTGGAACGCGGAAACATATTTTTTCAAGTAAATTTTGACAGTCAATTTTGTTGTGAATGAGGCCATACAAAAACGACAAAGCAAATATGTTTCGTCTTGTTGATAGTGAATCCAAATTGAAAGACTAATAGGGCACTATGGTCACAACCTCTTTCTGGATAAGAACCTGTGCATTTAAGGTGAAAATACTTTAAAGCTTTACGTTGAATGGCCTCAAGGATCACAACAGAATTTTGGTATATAGGAGACCAGATCAGGGTCGCATACTCCAACTTGCTCCTGACAAAAGTAAAAAATAAAATCATTAATGTATCAACATTGGAGAAACCCTTCCAGTTTCTGATACAGAAACCAAGTAGTCGAGTGGCAGCCGACGAGATATTGAGTATGTGCTCAGTAAACGTTAGCTTGGTATCAAATATGACTCCAAGGTCTCTATAAGAGGTGCATCTGTCTATAACCTGACCATTGATGTTAGACGTCAGACATGATTAATAGAAGACAGAACGACAAAAAGAATGAAAAAATTTCATGACGCCCAAAATGGTTCCGTCGGTACTCCGGGTTATAAATCTTGATCGACAGCTTGTCGTTCTTGGGATGCGGTGTGCAGTGTTGCCTTTACTATTTTACATTCTGCTAAACTATTATGAAAAATAGAAGCTTCAAATGAAATATATAATATGAATGGATATGCAAAGAATTTAGAATATAAATTCATATTGCAATTTCCAGATTGTCTAAGCATAGACGTAAACCGGATCTGTCGGTGTTTTTACCGAAATGAGAATATTTACCGAAAACATCATTTTCTACGAATTTTTCAAAATAATTGAAATATTTCCATACTTGTTGAAGAAAAGCTAAAAGTTAATTGTATGTAGTCTTTGTAGTTTTATGCCCCACATCAATCATACATTTATGGATACAAAAGGTACAGACTGGCAGATTACTGCCATTACCGCATCACCGAACAAGCAATAAAGAAACCGAAACCTGTCTGTTTTTAAAATAAATATTTAATTTAAATGTGAGGTGGGTTTGAGTTGAGTTTAGGGGTAAAACAGAAAAATATTTACAATCCTATAAGCAAGAATCGAGAAAGGAGTGTCCAGAATGGTTACAAAGGACTTTGAAAGAGCGACCAGTATGGACATTGTAAATGTTGTAATATAGAACTAAGCCCTCAAAAAACATGTGTGCGCGCTCAATACAATAATAAACGATGTCCATCGACGGCGCTGCGTAACTCAAAGGTCCTTGATCCACCACTGATCTTGGGAAGGCATTTTTCCATATTCAACGACACTGTTTATCGATTCCGTTTTTGTTTTCTGGTTCGGCAACACTTCAGATCACTTCAAAAGCAATTAATATATATACTAAGTGACATATAAATCCGAACACCCAGTTTGAATGGTTTTATTTTAATAAAATTTTGTATAAGTACTTAATGAAGCATAATAAGTAAATGATAAAAATTTCAAAATGATTGCACTGCTTTAAAGCCCTTTGACCTTTAATAATGTGTGGATGCACCCTGATGTGCTACGCATTCTCCAACGCGCCTAGGCATGCTTCTGATCAGGTCGTCAATGTCCTCCTGTGGTATCTCATTCCAGGCAACCACCAACTCCTCTCGAAGTGCTTCTAGAGTCTGAGGACGTTGCAAATTGAGCAATCTCCTACCCATCATATCCCACACGTGCTCAATTGGGGATAAGTGGGGAGATCTTGGTGGCCATGGTAACAATGTGACATCATTATGTTAAAAGAAGTCTATTGGGACTCTTGCAACATGTGGTCGGGCATTATCTTGTTGGAAAGTTGGATCTGCCAGGGTGTCAAGATAACGTAAAAGATGGGGTTTTAGAACTTCGTGGATATAACGCTGCGCGTTCATGATACCTCTGATGAAGATTAAAGGTGACCTGGAACCATAAGCTATAGCACCCCAAACCATAACTCCAACGAATGAGAAGTTTTGGCTTGTTTTTATAACGGCCACACTGAGTCCTCCCTTTAACTCGAGAACACCGACGTAATCGCCTTGAGTGGTGCAGAGAACGGTCTCTCTGGGATCAGAAATGGAACAGTATTGTCTTTAGTGACGAGTCTCGATTTTATTTAGCCATGCACGGTGGTCGTGCCAGGGTTAGAAGGCGACGTGGTGAAAGGAGGAATCCACAGTTTTTTGTTGAAAGACATATTCATCACACTGTTGGAGTTATGGTCTGGGGTGCTATAGCTTATGGATCCAGGTCACCTTTAAACTTCATCAGAGGTAACATGAACGCGCAGCGTTATATCCACGAAGTTCTAGAACCCCATCTTTTACCCTATCTTGACACCCTGGCAGATCCAACTTTCCAACAAGATTATGCCCGACCACATGTTGCAAGAGTCACAATAGACTTCTTTCAACATAATGATGTCACATTGTTACCATGGCCACCAAGATCTCCCGACTTATCCCCAATTGAGCACGTGTGGGATATGATGGGTAGGAGATTGCTCAATTTGCAACGTCCTCCTCAGACTCTAGAAGCACTTCGAGAGGAGTTGGTGGTTGCCTGGAATGAGATACCACAGGAGGACATTGACGACCTGATCAGAAGCATGCCTAGGCGCGTTGGAGAATGCGTAGCACATCAGGGTGCATCCACACATTATTAAAGGTCAAAGGGCTTTAAAGCAGTGCAATCATTTTGAAATTTTTATCACTTACTTATTATGCTTCATTAAGTACTTATACAAACTTTTATTAAAATAAAACCATTTAAACTGGGTGTTCGGATTTATATGTCACTTAGTATATAATAATAATACAATTAAAATATAAGTTAAATATATATATAAGTTTTGCTAATATTTTCCTAAATAGGTATTTTTGCTTCTGACATAATATCTAGATGATGACTAATAGGTGGATGCATATATATTTACAAATATCGATGTTTTAGGACCCACGAATGCAGAATGTACTTTTGCTTAGATTTGGTGTGGATTACTAGATCATAAATTGGTAATAAATTGTTTTTGATGTAATAAAAGATGATGAATCAGTTGGAATATCCTCTTTTTGCAAAATAAAAAAAAAATGGGTACATTTCTACAGACACCCTGTATGTAATAAAGAGACACAACTAGATTCGCATGCATGGACAGTAGTCAAAAACATTGAAAACATCCTATTAAATATAATAGCTATAGCCCTTGGTCCATTCGAATAAGTTCTCCATATTTTAAATTGGCAATTCTATGGAAGTTATCCTAATTCTAAAGCTCAAAGGCATAATATTACGTCTAGAATGCATCCTTTTTTGTAAAACAACCGCATTTTCACGATTTTATTCAATATTTCAATAGAAATTCCTGATATTAGGAGAGCTTTGACAGCTTCCGTCAAATTGCATTTCGATAAGCTGCTCCCTTATTGGTGCAAGGCTCTGTCAAATTTAAATCTTGGTGACATCGGCTCTGTTTAACATTGAAATGACCAAGACTCTTGATGTATTGATTTCTGCAGCAAACGAGGATACCATAAGACTTGAATAGAAGCACTTTTATCAAAGACGATTTTTGCAACAAATGTGATTTTTATATAGAAATAAAAATATGCTTTTTCCATAGTTTTCCTTACCTCTGCTCTCAAATCATTTAGCCTTTTGTCCATGCCTTCTCGAGAGTTTGTCTCATCCTGTAGATCTGCCTTTAATAACTGTAATTCTTTTTGATGCTCGTCTTGTAAAAGAAGCATCTCCCTCATAGTATCTTGTTTAGATTCTCTAAGTTCTTCGCATTTATCTTTAATTTCTTGGAGTTCACTTGTTAGCCTTTCGATTGTCCTATGAAGTTGAGATTTTTCCCTGAGGAAAAAAAAAACAGTTCTATTTATTAGATCAAATACAAAAACAAAATTGATGTAATTTTTGAGTTCAATGCTGGTAGTATATAAGACTGCTTACTCTCTTTCTACATGCAATGTTTTGGTGGTTTCATCAAGCCTGAGTTGCAGCATAGAAAGTTTTTGCAAAACATATTCTTCTTCATACTCATCTTTATCTTCATTTGCCTTTTCAGCTGCACCATTTACTAGTTCTGATGTGTCGGTTTTTTTCTCAATATCCTTTAGAAACCTGCAATTGAAAATCTTGAATGCTGACTTTTCACAATTTAAAAAACAGAGATATTTTCGAGGCCAGAATACTGTTCTATCAACAACATTATAAGTACATATGGTTAGTAATCAGTTTTAAATGTGCTGTATATAATAAACCATCCAAATAGTGTAATTAAAATGTAGGCACAATATGAGTGAACATAACAAAATGTTCCTGGCGTGCTACATTCCCGACTTTGTCTACAAATATCAACAAATTGCAGCAAATGTAACTGGTATAACAAAATACGAATATTCATTGTATTGAGGCTAAATGCACATTACAACATATCTTAATAAAGAGAGACACTAAGAATTTGTATAAACGCATAGAGGCAACACTCTTAGTGGTTCCGGAAAATTGTTTCATCCTCACCTGGCGCAATTCAAATTGGATATTTCCGTGTAAATATGGCAATTTCGCGACTTGCTCTTGTGAATGAATAGCAAGTCAAGAAATGATAGCGCGATTTTTTTGATTGAAAGCAAGAACCCGTCAGTCGCTTAAGAAGTGTCAGCAGATACCACCTTGTCAGTGGTTACTCACAAAGATATAGTCTGCTGAGTATATCTTTGAACTTATATGGTACATTTATGCAAATATGTACAAAATGATTATTCTTGAATACAAAAGTCATGAATCACATACATTAATAATAAGTAACGTACGGCTAATAACCGTAGAAGTTGAAGCCGTCAAAAAATAAAGAAAAAATAAGTAATGTATTTCAATTTATTTCGATCATGTCAATCGTTTTTTCCGCTCCTATTTTTTTATACTTTCTACTTTTTTTCGTTTCTTTATAATAAACATATAATAAACAATGAAAGTAACGGCTCCGACCGCTTATCAAAAAAATTTCTAGCTTCCAAACACAACAATTACCGTGAGAGTCTGTAAGCTCTTCATCTATACAAGTCTCTTGTTTTAAGACCGATGGAATTGAAGACTTGTAATTTTTAATAAAGAACTATTAAATTCATTTAGCTAGTTGTATTTATATCAGATTTAATGTATCGTTTTCATATTTTAAACGTCACCCCACTGGCCACACATTTTCTCCTGGTACCTATAAAAGTTACTAAAATGAAAGTATTATTTGATCCTGTCAAATATATGTAACACATATCATATATAGTCTTGTGACATAATGAATATGAAACCAAATAAATTATTTTTCTTAGCTGACTCTGAAAACCCAAATACCGTATATTTACCCATACAAAGAAACTTCGATTAAAAAATCTTGTCTTCCTGAAATTAAGAAGTACCCTTTGTGTGTTTATACCTTGGCACAGCTCCTTGCAGAATGTATTCCTCAATTGCAGAAGCATCCAGATCTTGTAAAGCAGTGCTGTCACATTCTGGGTTAGACTGAGATGAAGAAATACCATTCTGACGTTCGTTAATAGGGGAACCACTGTTGAACACAAAATCCTTTAAGGGGTCTTCACTTAGAGCCTCTAAAATCTGGCTATCAAATTGACCTAAAAACGCAAAATTTTATATTACAACTTTTGTTAAACAGATACACCCAAAAGTATCTTTGGCAATGCCACATTAACCTACATAAAACTTCATTATCATTTTGACTTAAAGCCATTAAGTAGCATCTTACCTGCATGTTTCAACAGCAAAATATGTATCCTCTCTATTTCCTTCTTCAACTGCTCATTTTGAATCTCAAGCTCTTCCTTGTCCCTTTTAGTGACACTAGACTCTTTTAACAATGTTTCTAGTTTAGTACGAAGTTGTTTACATTCTTCTCTAGCTTTGTTTCTTTCATTCCGCACTTTGCTCCATTTCTCCCGCCAATTTGCTGTGCAATCTGACCACCACCGCATCGTTTTCTCCATTTGAGCTGCTCTACCTTTCGCCTCCTCCAGTTCTCTTTGCCGTAAAGCCTACACTCAAAAATGATTTGTTGCAGCCTAATAATGTTATGAGATTTAAATAGATAGTTTTCAAAAAACAAAAATCATCAATGCTTCTTTCATTTAATAATGTATATAATCCGACCCAAAAGTATCTATTTTTTAAGCTTTTGGAAAAGAAAGAAAATCGATCCAAGCACTGAGTAACGAATTTTATCTGTAGATACCCAACCATGTAGTCGATTTCGACGTCCAAAAAATTATCCGAGATGATTTCTCTTCGCAGCAATTAGAAGTCTACTTTGAAAAGGTTAGTGCCTTGCAGATGGTGCTGTAGCCCAACTATATGAACATATCTTCAGGTAGAATATGTTAATCTATGATCTAGGAAAATCACCTGTTACTACTGTCAAGATCGACTTCCTCAACATAAATCACCCTGCTTCAAAGGTAGTTCGCCTCGGTTATTTCAATACTCATACTGAGCTTTAATTGGGCTCAAACAAGACTGATGCAGCAGGACCTGCAGTTGAAGCGTTGGCTCTTATTCAAGGGCTCACCAAGCTGGTATCGAGCCCCATTTTTTTCCCGCGTCTCGTCAGCATGTCCCTTACAGCATTGCTGTCCTGTCTCCTCTGGGTAACTCAAACCACGGTGCTGTGGAGGTTAGGTTTCGGTTAGAATCCGCTGTGGCAGCAGAAACTCGCCGAGGCCGCAAAATTTGGCATTACGGACATGCCGACTGGGACGGGCTCAGAGACTCATACAGTCAAAGTGCTTAAGCCAGGGTCCAATGGCTGCTACAAGAGCCCACTGTAGAGAACAGGCAAGCCGATGTCGAGTCCAGAAATAAATATAATGAAGCGGTTCGGAATGCCAAAGACCAGCACAATATAAAAGTTAGTGCCAGGGTAATGTCGCAGCGCAATGGCTGTAGGTCTTTCTGGACGCTGACCAAGCAGAATGACAGGAACTTCTTATAGAGCCTTCCACCACTTACGTGTCAGAATGGAACGATTGTAACCGACCCACAGGCTAAGGCGGAAGTGCTTGCCAAGATCTTTGCCGCCAACTCCACCATGGACGTCTCCCCCAACGCCAAAGTGCCATCAATTCAAAGGGTTCCCTACACTAGGCGGGAAGTAACATTCAGGCATAATATCTTAAGATGGATACTCTGATCACTGCACAGCAACAAAGCTTCTGGTCCAGACTTGATTCCTGCCATTGTATTCAAGAGGTGTGTAGCAGAGTTTGGTCCAGTTCTTTCGCATCTCTTCCGGATATCTTACGAACCCGGCACGTTCCTAGAAAACAAGAACTTTGCTCATGTCCAACTGTACTGTACCATGACAATCAAAAACATCTTGTCAATAGCGGCAGCTGCTGGGAAAACGCTAGGCTATTTGTTTAGGGCTAAGAAGTACTTTTCTCCTCATGACCTCCCTCACAGAATACAAGACCCAGATAAGACCTAGCCTCGAGTATTGCTCACACGTGCTACCGCCCCAACCGCATTATTTATGCTTAATGCTCTGCAGTGGAGAGTCCTCTGACTGATCGATGACTCTTCTTTAACAACCAGTCTCGGGACCCGTTTGCACTAGAGGGCCATTGGCAATCTAGCTCCCTTCTACCGCTACACCAATGAACTTTGCTCCTAGCTCTCCTCAATGATGCCAGAGAGACCCACGTAACTCTGGCCTCCCATCCTATCTGTGTCGCGACTTTGGGTGGAACAATCTACAAGAGGAAGCTTTTCCCAATTCCACTAACCTTAGGCAGTTCAGAAATCGGATTATGTGCAAAAACAAAAGATTACATGAAGTATTGAAGGATGTCTTAATGATTTTGATGATTTTTGTTGATAACCAAAACATTTTAGATTTTGGCCCGCAGCAACAAAGTTTTGAGTATGACTTAAATTTTTGAACCTAAGCAAGTCAGTGCAACTTAAAGACACTTGAGCAGTTCATTATTTGTAATCAACAAAAAAACAAAACTAGATTTATTTTGATGTATGCAGAATACTGTCAATATACCCACTTGATCCCTTTTAGAATGACCAAGCAATACCAGGAGCAATATCAAAAATGACATCACAGGAGATAAGATATCACTACCAAATTTCATCAACACTAGACCTAAATGTCTAATTTTCATTCAAAAAAGTCTTCTAATTCGCAAGCAATTTTACAGCTTCAGAGTGTCCAACTTCGTAAATACCTACATGCTTGCTGTAGGTTTTACTTATAAACGAATAGCTAAACAAGAGAACAAGATATCTAAGAAATGTATAATAAATTGCAGCTGCAACTAGATTCAGTTACAATAGTATTTTATAAAAGCATAATGCCCCATTTCCATGACATACATTCGAAAAATGTCCAAATCAGCGACATATCTGGTTAAATAATGCATGCAAATATGAATCTACAAATTCGAAAATATGTTAAAAGTACTTTTTCAGTACCTCATTTGCCTCCCACTCAGAAATATCAGCGATCCTGGAGGATGTGATTGATGCCGAGTCGTGATCTCGCCCATGTCTTCGAGAAGATGTTCCACTAGTTGTACTCTGAGCCATTTCAAAACGAATTTATCATATTTATAAATACCATGAGGCTCAAATTAATATTTTCCACAGATTCTGTAAGATTCCCGGAAAATACTGGATAAACTTTCCCAATCACAGTTGGCTGGAAAATTGTTTTGTTTTGCCCAATGAACTGTCAACACTGATGGAATGGCCCCGTCCCATTTGAACAATGAAGCGAATGTGCGGCCCGAGTGAGATGGAGCTAGCCCGGGCAAAAGCGCGCGAAATATGAATGAAGCGATATCGATTAATGAGGATTTCTACGAATAAAAAAGATTTAATACTTATCCAAGCACCTGGAACGTCATAAAAGCCTCAAAATATAGTAAATAGCGGTAATTTTAATAAAAAAGCAATTTCTGGAAGTAGCAATTTATTACATCACCATTTAAAAAAATACAAAATATATATATCTTATACGTATATGAAAAAATTTTTTTTTAGAACATTAAAACAAGAACATATATAGCAGAGATAGGGTCGTTCGACATGGTATAATGATAAAAAAAGATGGACCTCAGGCAGCTCTTTGTCTATAATATTTTAATATACCTACACAAAAATAGGCAAACTTTAATGCTCATCTCCCACTGCCATAGTTGAAGACATGAGTTAGAAAAAGGAAATAGGCATATTCTAGCAAAAAACAAAAAGAATAGTTTTCATTACATTTTATAGCACCACGTCTTTACTCTGAATTGACAGAGATACACGGTAGTGAACGCTTTGAATTCCAAGCATTTTGAAGAAAGACTGTGAAAATGGATACTAAGGACACCTCGCACGATTTTACAGATATATATATATATATAGATTCGGAGAGCAAGTGTTGTATCTACTTATCTCTACTCACGTTTCGGAGAAACTCGGACTTGTGTAAACTCCTTCAAATATATGTTTTATTAAGTCAAACTTTTATATGGTTATGCGGCCAAATGCGGTATATGATGTTACTTGATAGTTGATAGTGTGACAAAGGAATTGAAAAGGTAGCCTGCGCACAAATCTTTCTTGAAGATTCCAGTGGGTAGTCCTACTTATTTTACAAATATCTTTGGTATAGGGCTGATTTATGTAAGTTAACTAAAGGAAATCAATGGATGAAATTTCAAATTGTTGGTATTTCATTACTTTTGTTCCTGACTGGAATACATCACTATTGATTTCTAAAATGAATTGTTTTGGTTAACCTTTGCCTAATTCTGTCGGTAATTTGATTTTTGGTCGAGTTTATATGGTGAAGGCGAATAGTGAAATAATTTTTCAAAATTAATCTGATCAACTGAATGATATGGCCATCAAGTGGGTCTTGTTCTAGACAGTGCTCCGATAAACACAAAAAAAGTTCCCTGAAATTTAAATTTCTCATTGCAGCCGAGATCAACTTCAACATTATATTCGGAATGGAAAAGTTAGTCTCCGTCTTTATAATACTTTCTGCAACCGTACACACTTTAACAACATCTTTTGTAGGCTTGCTTAGACCTCCTCTATTTTTCCTATTCAGGAGCTTACAAGTAGAATCAGATGTTGTAACTGATTTGGCACATTCGTTACAATTCAGGGTCTGACCTAGTTTTTTGCTGACAAAACCTGCTATATATTCCACAACATCACAAATATACACACAGTTTAAAATTTTATTGTGATTAACAATGTATTGTTCCTGTAAATCGGGAGAAAAATCTTCCTCAAATTCATACAGTACATCGAGAGAAGGATTTTTTACTTTTTTTGAGGTAACATTCAAAATAGAGGTGCTGTCTTGTGCTAAGCAATTTGCACTTTCAGAGGAAGCAATTTCGCTGTGAATCAGCAACCTCTTATAGGCTTGTTCAAATTGCCATGCTGTTGGATTATTGGAAAAACCCCCTCTCCTACGTACTGCGGCAAAAAACATTTCCAAATGATCCTGGCTCAATTTGTACGTTAATAAAAAATTTAAAGTCCCACTTTTCACTAAATCTTCAAATAAATTTTGAACACTAACCAAACAGATAATCAATCCCACAAAACCTGTTTTTCTACTAGTCTGTAATATATTAACACCTTCGTAATTTGTTACTGTACTTAAGTAGCTAATAGAAGTCTGTACAAAATTTCTTAAAAACTCTTCACTACCTTTATATAAAGGTTTTTTGAAGTGGGTGCTGCCAAGAAAATTTCTTGTATTCAGCAGATCGAATACATTATTAATATTTTTGCAAAATGTTGCAGTCGCTTCTGCATATTGGAAAGAAGGTATGTTTAAACCTTTCTCACAATACTCTAACGCGTCACTCACACTTGAACTAAATGTTTGTACTGCTAACTTCACTCTCATTCTTTCTTTATAGTAGTTCAGGTGCCTCCTCCTAAGTTTAGTGGCACAATGCAGACCTGTATCTTCTTGTAGGTTGACAAGTTGTTTGAAATATTCCCACTTAATGTCATTCCCTCCACCATCTTTTAGAGCGCCATAGTCGCCTAGAGTATTGCGAACCAATTTAATCATGTGGCAAGCATCCAATATTATATGTATTTTCTCATTGTTATTGGCATTAATGAAAAAAGGCTGACTACATGGAAAACCTAAATTCGCACCTAATAAGTTTGCCATGAGGATATTTGATGCATCACCATCAAAAGTCAAACTTTTAATTAATATGCCAGTGCTTTCCAATTGTAACAAGCACCCCCTGACAAAGGTAGCCTTTTCTTCAGCCAATGATGATTCTATTAGGAAATAAGCTATTGGAACTTTCCATCTAGTATTAATGCCAACAACCATGAAGACTAAAGCCTTTGTGGCCTTTGGCATCTCCTGACTACTTTGCATTGTAACACCAATATTTATGTAGCCTACTGCTCTACTCCCAGTCCAATGTACATGCTGATGAATATACATCTCATCCATCATCAGGGCACCAACAAGCTTTTTTCCCTTTTCTTTTTCAGCTTCCACCTTAATTTTTATAGCACGAATTGCTTCTTCGCTATATCCAGGTGTACCATCTACAACACTATACCATTTTGAAAGAGTGAGTGGATGTGGTAAAACTTTTTTTCCAAATATTTTCCTAACATAGTTGTACGCTGATGATGAATAAAAATTTAATGTTAGTGCAAAACATCTCAACTCTGGGCTATATTTGTTAGTTTTTCCTTTTTTCAGCTGCCTGAAAAGCAGCTGCTTTTGGGTTTCTGAAAGACTTTCCTGTAAAAATAAGATAAATACATGCATAAGCTGAAAATTTCATGCAGGCTAAAAAAGTTAGATAGAATGATCACCCTAGCTAGCAATCAATAGACATGCTACAGAGTTAAACAATAAAAATGCAAATTTCACAAGCAAAAATAGTGGAATCTAAGTAGCAACTGTAATATATTTTCATCTTAAGCTTAAAGGAAAATATCCTTCCATCAAATGTCTACCTTAAGTACTAATGACTGAGCTGCAGATATTTTCTTCTCTTCACATAGTTGATCCACTAGACTATTCAGACTATTTATTTTATCTTTTTGTCTGCGTATTGTACACTTATTGTACTTGATCATTTTTCTGTACTTGTAAACAGTCTCATGAGTAATTTTCCAGAATCTCTTCCTGCGTTGCAAATTACTTAAATCAGAAAATTTGAAGTCTCCAAAGAATACAGGTTCTCTCCTGAACATGAAAATGAAAAAAAGTAACAAATGAGAAACAGAGTTGGATGATAATTACCTTAGATTGCACATGTTTGAAAGTTCACTTGATTCAAGGTGTTCTGGGTTTTGTGCTGAGTTTGATGAAGGTCCAGCTTGCAGATTGCAAATGTTTGAAGGTTCACTTGATTCAAGGTGTTCTGGGTTTAGTGCTGAGTTTGATGAAGGTCCAGCTACCAATAAATTTCCATCAACACTGATAGGGTCATTTTCAGGTTCTTCTACTGCTTCACAAATATCCAAGGTTTGATCTAAAAATGATAAGGTTACTAAGTTATACCTACTTAATCATTGTATCTTTTCTTTTTGTGGAAGTACAGAACTTAAAACCTCAATTTGAGACTTATTAGTCAAAAGAGACCTGTTTCTTTTGATGTTGATTCCTCACGTTTTCTTTTCAATACCCTTCGTTGTGCAGTAGGTTTTTTTTTGAGATGGGCAGGAAAATCAAAAACAGATGGAACTGCCGACTTTTTTAGTACCCTATTTCCATGCACATTAACTTCATAATCATCAGGTGTGAAATGTTTTTCACAAATTACTGTTGATGTGCTGGGTGTAAAGTTCACTCTTCGTATTGCGATCAACCACAGCTTTCGCATGTTAGGATCTGTAGGAATCCTAAAAATTCAGATATTTTCTCAAATTACTAATCAAGAATCAAAATTCTACCAGACAAAAATGAATTGGAGGATTCAACCAACCTATGAAACTTCATTTTTACATCTTTTCTGCGCCTATTACAACAGTTCACTGCACTGCACGATTAGACCATTTTAGAAACACAAATGACAAAACAAAAGCACTTGAAGTTTGTACGGTCCAAAAATAATGTTTACAACAATCACCTCAAACTTCGTTATTGCTTTAAAATAGCACCATTAACAAAAAACACCAAAAACTTATAGAAAACGCACACACATCCAACTGTTTGTTTACGTTTTTCTGCCCGGATTAGCTGTATCCTTCTCGCACAATTTCGTCGCTCATTCTAGCCACAACGAATTCGCCGTGAGCCCCTTCCATCAGTGTTGACAGTTCATTGGTTTTGCCTAACAGTGACAGCTCGGGAATGTTCAATTGTGCTGCCATTTAACGCACTCTATTTTTACTAAGCGGCCAGCGATGGTTTCTTTATGCATTTCGGTATGTTTTAGTCTTAGTGACATGTACTTGGGTATAGATGGCGCGTGATAAATGCCAAATGGTGCTATCTAGTAGTACTATTAGCTTATGCTGTTAGGACACTTATGAAGTTACCTACGGTAAGGTCGTGCTGTTAAACTATGGTTCCATAGAGGGCGCGCGAAGAGGGGTTGCGTTCCTCAATTTCTAAGAGAATCATTCATTTCTTAGATTACTTTTATTGATTACGTTTGCCTAAATTGACCTTTTTGACTGCAAATAGTGCAAGTCTACTGAGTTGGTAACACTGTCGGGCTTTCATTTCACAGTCGCTTCATATGGTATCATCCTGACATCTATACGGGTTTTATAGTTTATTCCTGGTTAATTCGCTAATCAGTACATTCATATTTCGCCCTTTTCACACCTTTTTGAAAAAATGGAAGATCTTTCTGAGGTGCATCTTACAGAATACATTCCAACAATTTACACCTCACCCCGAACTATCTACTACACGCAAAATGGTAAACAAAGAAAATGGCACATTATGGCAGAACGCAATGGTGTCGTGATAGTGTTATACAATAGTACGAGGGATGTTCTAATATTAGTCAAGCAATTCAGAGCTTCAGCGTACATCCATCAAATACCCGAAGAAGAACGAACGAAGAAACCTATCGATGTGAAGAAGTATCCTCCAAATTTGGGAATCACTTACGAATTCTGTGCCGGGCTTGAAGATAAGAACATATCGACTGCTGAAACCGCCAGAGAAGAAATTTTGGAGGAGTGTGGATATGAAGTTACACTGGACCAGCTAGAAAAGATCGCAACTATAAAGAATTTGTCAGAAACTACTGGAGCTCGCAGCACTTTCTACTACTGCGAGGTGACCGATGAGATGAGGCTGAATCACGGTGGTGGAAATGAAGAAGAGGGGGAGAACATAGAAGTTGTTGAGATGCCCGTTGAAGAGGTCCTACGATTTACCACGAATAGAGAATATGTTCCATGTCCTATTAATTTCATGTTTGGGTTGTACTGGTTTTTGAATAATAAATATCATACAAAGTATGCCTCATGCTATTCATTGTTTTTAGTATAAAAAGACAGCGATTGGCGACGCTATGGAGGAGGACTACGAGGAATCAATTCCGCCGTTAGTAATTCGATAAAAAGGCATACAGATATACTAAGTGACGTTAGAAGTGTTACCCCCAGAAAAAATATTTTTTTCCACTCGTCTTTTTGGCAACATAATGATTATTTATATAAGTATGTTGTGGCAACAATGTCAACGTTTTATCTTTGGTTTTGTTTACCTTTATTCAAATCTTTTAATAACAATGTGTTGGGCAACCCCGCAGCTGAATACACTCCTGTATATGTCTAGGCATCGACAAAATGGGATGATGGATGTGTGGTTGTGGCATCTCATTCCAAGCAACTCGAACTTCGTGGATTTTAGCTGTGGCAGAGTACGTGGTGAATGGTGCAAAGTGGATAGTCTTCTCCGTATCACATGCCGCACATGTTCGATGTGACCTAAATTCGGTGAACGCCACGACAAAACATTAACGCCTGCTTCTTGAAGAAAGTCCATAGTACGACAAGCAATATGGGGGCGTGCGTTGTCTTGCTGAAAAAGGACGTGTGGACGGCCCTCTAGATACAGCAGTAAAGTGGTTTGTAGCAAATCGTTAACATAACGCGCAGCAGTGATATTGCCTTGAACAAAGAGCAGGGGTGATCGGCTACCATAGGCAAGCCATTACTCCAACAGTCCTGCATACATGCCTCTCAACAGCAAATCCAATATCACGACGTTCTCCATGGCGGCGTCTTAACCTTCTACGACCATTGTACCGTGCAGAATCACGGCGATTCCTCGTTGCAGGACAGTGGTCCGCAGTCGGATGAAATACTAACCGTGGACGATATGAAAAAGGTCCAAAGGCTCGAATACCTTCGTATCCAAACCATTGGTCAGACATCTGACGTGTACTACCAAAACGGTCTCGCAGGGCTAGTTGCCTGAAGCGCCTATCTTGACGCTCTGTGGTACGCCTCGGTGAACCAATTGACCTTCTTCGCGTTTTTCTAGCTTCTATCCACACACACGCATTACCATCATTGCAGTACAATGAACACGGCGGCCAATTTCGCTATAGGACAAACCAACATCTCGACAGGCAGTAATTCTACCCCTGTCAAAGTCGCTAACATGGTGATAATTTGGACGTAGTTGAACTCAAGGCATTTTGTTATGCTTAACACTAGTTAATGAAAGGGAAATAAAAATATCTATACTACTCAGCTCTCAGAAACTACTTCCTTCGCAAAAACTAAGATATAACATTTTAACAAAGGTAAACAAAGACAAAGATAAAATGTTGACATTGTTGCCACAGCATGCTTTAAATATAGTCATTATAATGCCAAAAAACAAGTTGATAAATTATTTTTTCTGTGTGACGTAACACTTCTAATGTCACTGAGAATATTCTAAATTAGACATTTTCAATGTAAACATTCCAAGTTGATTTGTTTTCAACACATGAGCAAGAAAACGATAATAAATCTCACCATCCTTGAGAAATGAACAGCGATCGAGGTTTATATTCGCTTATCGCTGCTTGCTTATAAGCATTTATGGCACGATTTTCAATAGAAACGCAGGAAATTTGCCTTGCTGCTGATGGAAACCTTGATAAGTGTCACGTTGAAAAAAATCTGCACTTGTATGTTCGTGCTTCAGCTTGGAAGGAATACGTTTTCACAAGGTTTATCAAATCAAGGCGTACGGTAAAGGCGTTAAGTCTTTGGGGTGAGTATTTACCTTGCTGTTCACAAAGTTCAATCCACCTGGCACATCTTTATAACCGTGCTTTTCCCAATGTTACCAGGATAATTATGCTCAATTAGATTAGACGTCTGAGTGAGAGGCATGATTTCTATCTGGGTTACCTTGGTTAGCTTTCACTAGCAAGGCAGACAGTATCTAAGAAAGAATATTACATACATGCAAATATGTATATGTATACTATATTTGCTGGATGATCATTAGCTTTGTTTATTGACATTATAACAGGGGGTTGCAGATTCAATTATTTTATACTAAAACTATCAGTGCTTAAATTAACTACTTTTATAAGCATTTCTTTTTGTTAGTCTCGCAAAGATAAGTAGTTCAATATGGGTACTTATATTTGATCGATTACTTATCGCGAGCGGTCTAGAATGCAAACATGTTTGCAGTATTCTACCAAATTATGCACATGCTGTTTTCTAGGACGGTATAGGTTTACAAAATTAAACTCCGAGATATCAGTCGGCGACGACTCTGTGCCTTCTCAAGTTTACAATATTTTTTTGAGGGGGGGACTAGGGATGCAGACGATGTTTTCATAAAACATCGATTCAGAATAACGATATGTAATTTTCAGCTGTGTTAACAAATTGCGACAGAGAGACAGAGTCGAATTTACATAGGCATGGATCATTTCTGTGACGTGACGATAGACAGTTCGATGTTAAAAAGCGAAAAACTGTTTTTGCTGTTTCTGTTTTTGATTTTTTCCTAGCCTCAAATAGTCTGCGAGTTCGGCAAGCGCTCATTTCATTAACAGATTAAAAAAAATCGACGCTCCGATACACAGATGTTTTCTATGCGATGTTTTTATACATCGATGTTTTTATCCGAAACATCGATGTTTGCATCTCTACTCAGGGCCACAGTTCGCCAGCGGAAAAACCTGCCGACCGATCACTCCTGTCCCTTAGCAACAGAGTCCTTTTCCGTTTTCCGCCAGCCGAGGCTGTAGGGAGCGCATACAACCGTGTAAACATTTGCGCCCGACATGCAAATACATATCCATCTTACTAGACGCCGGAGCATTCAAGGAGGCAGCGACGGAAGAGAGAATTTCCGCGCTTATAATAACAATAACAAACTGCTATTAAGCGTCGGGCACACGAGCTGCCAGGCTAGCCCTGTATAAGTTATTAGGGTAAATGCGAGTTTGCATAGCCTCGAATAACACCGAATTAATTAAGCCATCTCCGCGTCGATTTTCAAGACCTGAGCACCTGAACTGTGTTGCTGCTTTTGCAACTGAACAATTTCTGAGGGTTTGGAAAGTAATAGAGTTTTTTTAGTGCATAAAAATAACGAATAAAAATGAATAGGTTTCGACTCATAGAACCACAGAACGACAAGTGACCATAAAACTAGCAGAACTTGTCGTAAATGCTACCTTATTGCCACATTGCATACAGGGTGTTTCAAACTCGACCAACACCATTGGGATCTGGGAAACTTTAAGAGATTCGAAGTCGCTCAAATGACTCTCAGAAAATTTCGAAATTCAAAGTAATTCCGGAGACACACGGAAAAAACCGAATTTCACCAAAACTGGTTTAATTTTTCCTGATTTTTTCTGTAGTGGGATTTCAAAATAACTTGCACATTAACATTGACACTTTCTCTCGTCTACAAGATGGCATAATTAGAATTTCAATATGACGCTTCGTTCCTTGTCCTCGGGCATCAACTTTATTTTTTCTTATAGTCATCATCTTGGATTTTCGTACATATGAGTAGAATTTCTAATTCTGGTTTCAAAAATGTGATACGTCCATTGAAATTGCCAAACCTTAGTTATTTCAAAGTAAGCAGAATTTTATAGGTTGGCCTTGAAATTATCAGATGTTTGCATACCAGATTTATCCCAAAATCACTTCTATTTTTTCATGACATTATTTGAGAGGAGAATTTGAAATAAATTGAATGTTATTGTTGTTACTTATTCTCCTCTACAAGATGCCGTAGATACATTTTCAATTCTACATTTCTTCTTTCGACTTCCATTACCAATTTTGTTTTTCCGTATGGACGCCTTAGTTGGCCATCAATTTGTTGACGCACGAAAATCATAAGGAAATAAAAAAGTATGGTGAGATCTAATTGATGGGAATAACAATAATAACCACAAATAATCATAGGCAAATCATAGCAGATGTTCAAAATGTCCGTTATTTTGTAGGCACAGCCTGACTCTTCTCTGTATATTATGCTCTGCTCGATTTACTTCTGCTTTTCTCAGTTTTACAAACTTTGTTGTATGTTCAATTTGAGGTCTGGTCTGGTATATGAAACAAATGAAATCTGACTTCAAGGCCTACCTAGCAAATTCTGTTTTTTTGGAATAACTAAGGGTTATCGTTGTATGACATATTATAAATTTTTGATATCAGAATTGAGAACTCTATTCATCTGTACAAAAATCCAATATGGTATCCATAGGAACAAATAAAGTTGATAGAAGCAAAGGTGGCAGTGTTAAGGATCAATTCAGTTTAAAATCCCATTTCAATTAAAGACTGGACAAAATTAAAACGATTTTGAGAAAATTGGGTTTTTCCGACACTTTCCGAAAGTACTATGAATTCCGAAACTTTCTAAGCGGCATTTTGTTGATTACCTAAATGCACAACTTTGTCCCTATTTAAGGGACTTCACATCTGTTAGAGTCTCCGAGATCCCAATGGTGAGGGTCGAATTTGAAGCACCCTGTATATACTGAGAACAAAATTTGTCTGAAGGCTTGAGTTCAATCTTTACGAGAGAGAAGTGTGTATGGACACATATCGTCGTCCATAACACGAAGTGGCATCTCTCATTGTTTCCAATTTTACAGGAGATCGTTTTAAATATTTTCAAGAGGTTTGAGTTATTGCTGACAAAAAAGTATTATAGCTACATAATTGAACTTGTGGTCATATCTGCTCATATTTACAAGCTTTTCAAAAAAGAGCAACGATTAACCCATTTTTCATTTCATGTATTCAAAATTTCCAAAAAAAGTAGATACGACATTTTGTGAAATTGAAAGGTCGTAATTCATAGAATAAAGACAGCTATGTCCGTGTTATATTAAAGTGATGAAAAATAAAAACACATAAAATTCAAAAAAGTTTTATTACAAGACGAAATGGTTACAAAAAGGGAAACAGTAAATATTTATTATGGCGAAATAAGTATCCGCAGTATCTAAAACCATTTAACTTGATATAAAAGTTCTATATGGCAGGACAAACAAAATA